CCCAGCATTCGAATCACCGACCTAAAGGTTACGAGACAATTGTCTTTACCACTAGACTAAGACTGATAGGACAAGCAATTGACTACATTAAAACAGCGTGATTATCCATACCAGGTATCAAAATATATGGTTACCATAACCTAATATTATTTATGTCTGTCATTTTGCACGAGTAATCTTTGTACTATTTCCTCACATATCGCCTATGGATGTTGCATTTCCGCAGCTCGTTACTGGGCATTTTCCACTGAGCTATATTATAATTCCTATTATACAGCTCACTTGCTCAGTGCCATTTTTCTGCGGTCTTAATTATACGATTGAAAGAGCCAAACACGAGTTTGGGATATTTTGAGCTAGGGGTTATAAATACCGCTAGCCATTTTATTAATAAAATGACGTAATATTTATTAAGTTTAACAGAAACTGATTACCTATATAACTCTACATATGTTTTAACATAGTTTTGCCCGGTAAGGTGGGAGTAAAATTTACGATAACGCACCCCCCCCCCCGCAGCCCCGAATACCATCACAACCAGGTTCATGGATGCAGGCATGGGGTGGAGGTGGAATGTATGAAATTACTTCAGAACAGTTTATGACTTGCTTCGCCAGCTGACCTTGAAATGTTTGAGTGTGTCTTATGACAGCACGCTGAAAATGATCTAATTTTTCCATCTGTTAAATTATTGGCCTACAGCTAAAGTTTTATCTCTTCAGAGCAGATTTCTTCCACTCCATTGGCAGAGTTGCCCATTATGATAGTGAAAAAAAGATGACACCTATTCGCAAGCAAATATTATATATAACCTAGTTTGTAAGATAGTCTAGAACCGTGTTAAACAAGGGCGACATATATAATTATAAATTATAAATGTTACGATGAATGTTACATTTGGTAGAAATTATCAGTACTATTCGTCTTTTTTCACAAATCAAGCACAGGGTGCATGGTTATAAGGTCGCACTGAACTTAAAATGCGAAATTTCTAGTTAAATAATTATAAATGGATTGTACCAAGTCGGATCAAAAGAGATTTGTCTTTGGCCTAGCTACAAAATTGCTTCAATTGAAGTCTATATTTTGTAATCGCATGCAAATGTTAGCATAATTATATGAAATGTCAACAAAATATACTGATTTAAAATACTGATTTCGATTTTTTAAAATATACATATATTATTATACACCAGAAGTTACTGTCGATCAAGATTAGTGAGATTATATCCTTCATTGTTGCGCGTAGGCAGTTTCTATGAACGCCGGATTTTCGTAGAGGTCTTCTTCAGTTTTGATAACATACTCAGGTTGTGAATTTCCGGTTACTTTATCTCGATTTGGAATGCTTTGTGATCCTTCAGATTTATTTACTTCATTCGTGTTACCTAACGTTAACCGCCTTCTTTTAAGATACACAAAAGCAGCAATTGAAACACCAACAGCGAAAAATATTACAACAGGGACTATCACCATGACCAATGTGGGGACAGGTTTTGTTGTTTTCTCCTGGCCGGTGGGTTGTTTTAGTGAGCTTGTTTTGGTGACAGATGGTGAGCTTGTTTTTGCGATAGTTTGTGAGCTTGTTTTTACCACCTCGCATCTGAAGTTCGAGTTGCAAATCTCGTCTGGGGAGCGACAATCCAAATTTGTATTACATTCTTTCTTCGGCGTAGGGGACGTCCTAGAGCTTACAGGAGTGGGAACTGTTGTCTTCCTTAGTTCGCATTTTCCGTTTGAATTGCAAATCTCGTTGTCACCACCACAGTCTTCAGCTTTTGAACACTTTTCTCCAATGCAGTTTGCAAGGCACTCGCTGCTCTCACCCGGGCCTTTCTTGCAACAGTAACGATTACCGGAGGAGGCAGAACAGTCAGAATCGCTGCTACATTTAGGGCAACCAACATTCGTGCATACCCCTTTGTTGCTGCTGACGCTGCAGCACTCATTTTCACCTCCACAATCACCATCTGCATCGCAATCCTCGCCAACGCAAGATCCTTTACGGCAGCCCAGGTTTAAGTCGAACAATTTCTTGCAACAAACCTGACCCGAATAACATTCTGATTTTGTTCCACATTGAAAAAGGCACTTATGTCTCAAGGTCCCTCCGTCTATACATTTCCCGCTTTTGCAGCATGTGTAATAACGAGGACAGTCTTCGTTCATGTCACAACGTTTTCCAATACAATCATCCTTAGTGCATACTTTTTCTGTGAGAGACTTCTTACAACAATAATATGAGGTACCATGCACAATCACCGTCGGTCCTGCATGAATCAACAGTGGCGAAGATGACGCGGAAAACCAAAACATACAATTCAATCGGAAATGTACAACGGTTTTTCATGATGAACCACATGCGGACAACGAACTTGTGGTGCTGTACGCAGAGACGAACTTGTGATGCTGTACGCAAAACGTTTGCAAGAATTCGGTAAAATGATAGTGAGGTGCCAATGCTACTTGACCACAGCAGTGTTGCTACAAAATATCAGAATCTGTAAGTATTAACCGCGGTCTGCACGCATATTTCAAATCTTTCAAAGTATTCGGGCAATTTATTGCATTCGACTAATTCCAGATAATGGTATTGAGAACATTGTTCAAAAAAATTGAGCTTTTTTTCATGCTGACTTCTAGAAATAATTTCACGCCTAAAATACAGAAATAATTTTACTTGACATCTGTTGGTTTCGAAACGGAAGAGACTAACCAACGGATGTTTTCTATAATATTGTATTGGCAAAAACAACCTTGTTATTTTCCGCAGCCACAACCGCTAAACCAAAATGCGTAAGTTTAGTCAGCAAATGCGCAATGCGGTTTCCCAGCCTAACCTAGCAATGTCCGTTGCGCAAAACAACATTTCTAGATCCATTGCACGTTCCGGTATCGCTCTGCATAAATATAGGAGACTCAAGCAAACTTAAGTCAGTGTTTAACGTGGACCTGCTTGTGAGTAAGCAACTGTCGTTGGTGCCTTTATAAAATAATTGGCGCGTCAATATCTATTCACGTTGGTACTCTAGAAATCTACATACTCTACGCTATTTTTCTATAAAGGTTTGGTGCGTGCGCAAACCAAAGTAAGTAAATTTGTTAAATATAATTGTTATTCTATGCGCTATGTTCACATTTTGCGCCATTTGTTTATTTAAGTAATCTGCGCATAATTCTTTGCTATAATGTGTTAGTTTGCATGCCGCAAGTTCCAGTTAAGTATCGCTATTCCAAAACGCTAAATTCGCTGATTATTTTGCATGCCTAATTCAGTGTCTTTTGTTATATCATTGATAGCCACATATATATCGGCAATAGTAATTGTAGTGTTAAAGCATGTTATTCTCAGTATAAGTACTCGTTAATTGTCATATCATATGTATATCATAATTATCTTTCTGTGTTATATAGTCGTTTATAGTTAGTTTGTTTAATTGTTATATTCTAGTTCGAACCGATATCCAGTCGATTCTCAATCTATTTCCAGTCGATTCTCAATCGATCTACAGTCCGTTTCCAGTCGTATTATCTACGGACAATCGTTTCTAGCTCGACTGTGTTATTCCAACGACGAGTTCGTGTTTGTCAGTCTATACCTGTAGTATCGCTGATTTATATTAAACCCTCAGAACATTGTTATCAGAATCGTCTGTCGAGTTCGTTTTGTTATCCACGCACCCGTCTATTTAGTAGTTTCGTTTGGATTATCGTTGCTATTCAAATTCTGTTCAGACGAAAGCTACATTTTAGTTCGAATTTGATGCACTGTCAAAAGGAATTCGACGAATTTGTTACTGGTCAATTGAATGCGTCACGACTGTGTTGACAGCTTGTGATCCGATCCGATTAGCTACCGCAATCATAAATCAATTACCACCTTCTTATCCACGAAGCTTAAAGAAAATCTACCTATGGCTGAGAAGGCACGTTCAATAGAACAATTTAAGAAAGCGCGAAGTACCGCAAAATCAAAAATCACCAGAAAAAAAACACAATCAAAGGGTTTATGCAAAACCAAGATAACTTAGCTGTTGTCAAGGATCAATTAGGAGAACTGCACGATGAACTAAAGGCGTTCAAAGACGTACACGAGGCCTACCATAGTCAGCTAGAATCTGATGTCGACTTGCGCGAATCAGATGACTACCGTCTTTCTGTCGAAAGAATTGCGAGGGATTTCGAACACGAGACAGGCATATGGCTTGCTGAAATAGCTCAAGAGATAGAAAAATCCTTCAAGCATCAATCCGACTCTGAACTTGTGAACATTCAACCAGAAGACTCGATAAGTCAAGTGCAATCCCGTGCTTCGTATCGTACGCACTCAACTTGTGGGTCGAAGACAAGCGTAACCAGCGCGAGAGCAAGAGCTGCTGCTAAAAGGGCTGCCCTACAAGTCGAAGTAGAACTTCTCGAACGTTTGCAGCAAATCGAAATGGAAGAGCTTGCTCTTCAGCAACGGAGGAAACAGCTTCAGTTACGTGGGGAGATTGCAGCAGCTGAGGCTGAAAGAGAAGTTTACGAGAAAGCCAAATCCGAAACACGTAGTGATAGTTTACCCTCTCAAGTTAGAAACTTACAAGCGAGAAAACTTGAACCTGAAGTAACAACAGCCAAAGTTGAACACGATGAACTCAATACGACCCCAGCTCCACCTAAACTCTCCGAAGGCGCCGTTAAACTCCACACCTGTTTCGGCAAACAGTACTTTGAATAACTTCCATGAAGAGTCCTTTAAGAAACTGGTCGAAGTGCAAGATCAACAGAGTCATGCCCTTCAACTACTTATACAACAGCAACAGCAGGGAGTTAAAGCCCTAACCCTTCCTCAACCAAGCATGCAAGTATTCAGCGGTAACCCCATAGATTATTGTGATTTTATCCGTTCTTTCGAGCATCTTATCGAGGCTAAAACTACAAGTTCAAGTGCTCGACTATATTACCTGATCCAGCACACGTCTGGTGCTGCACAAGAACTAATGAAGAGTTGCCTAACAATGGGAGAAGATGAAGGTTATAAAGAAGCGAGAAGGCTGCTAAAGGAAAGATTTGGACAAGACTATAGAGTTGCTGCTGCACACGTACAGGGGCTTATAAACGGACCACAAATTAAGAACGAAGATGGGATCGCCCTACAACAGTTTTCGGTGCAATTGACAAGTTGTACAAACACTCTGGAAAAGATCGGATACTTGGACAGATTGAACAACTCCGATAATCTAAAGAAATTAATCGACCGATTGCCTTATCCAATGAGGATCAAATGGCGAGACAACGTTGATCGAATCGTGGAAAGAGAAGCCAGAGATGTCAGTATTAAGGACGTAAATGACTTTGTCACCGCAAAGGCAAGAGCTACGACCCATCCCATCTTCGGGAAGATTTCCACCGCCGAGAAGGCACCGAAATTCCAGAATCCGAAGATGAGAAGAAATGGAGGAGCCGCAGGGTTTTCGAGTCAGACTACCAAACAAACGCTGAAGTGTCCGCTTTGTGGGTCAAACCATTGGTTATCTCGCTGCGACAAATTCCGAAAGCAATCGCTGGAGGAACGACAAAAATTCGTGAAAGAAAAGAAGCTCTGTAACAATTGTCTCTCAACTGGTCACTTCGTTCGTTCTTGCACCAAACAAAGCTTCTGTAAGGTGCAAGGTTGTACCGGAACCCATTCAACATTCCTCCACCCAAAACTCGCTGAGGACAAGCGTGAAAGCGAAGACTCGAAGAGAAACGAGAATAAAAGGATTCCAGAAGATCAAGGTATTAAAGACGCCTCAGATGGAGCAACCAACGGTTACGTAAAGTCACGGATCCCAAAATACAACTCTGTGACAGGTCTCGCGGTCGTTCCAGTCAAGGTGAAAGTAGCCGGGAGTTCTAGGACAGTAGAAACATATGCATTTCTAGATTCGGGATCCAACACCACGTTTTGTACAGACACCCTGTTGAAGAGACTCGGCGCGAAAGGGAAAAAGACAAAATTAACGCTCACGACAATACAAGGCGAAAATGAACCAATCGAATGCTCCTTTGTCAGTTTGGAAGTCTCCAATATGGAAGGAAACGCCGACATCAAGCTACCCATGGTGTATTCGAGACCCAGCTTACCGATCCCATCTGAAGCGATTGGTAAACAAGAAGACGTCGACAGGTGGCCCCACCTGAGCGGAGTCAAAATTGCCACGATCGCCCAGGACGTAGGTCTGCTAATTGGAAGCGACGTTCCCTCAGCGTTACAGCCTATTGAAGTAAGAGAAAGCAACGGCGAAGGACCATTTGCAACTCGAACAGCTCTCGGATGGACATTGAACGGTCCATTGGGAAGAGAATCAACAAAAACTCCAACTGTGAATTCAATACAAGCTGACAGCAAACTAGATCGACAATTTGAACGTTTTTGTAACCTCGAGTTTAACGATAACCAGTACGATCCAAACCCAACGATGTCTCGAAATGATCTGAAAGCCTTGAGATCATGGATGAAACTGCGAAGTTAGAGAACGGTCACTACGAGATGGCTCTGCCATGGAAAACATATCCACCAAATCTGCCAAACAACCGAGTTCAAGCCGAAAGTCGACTTCAGCTCTTGAGGAAACGATTGCGGAAAAATCCAGATCTGCACACCAAGTATAAGGGATTCATGTCTAATCTCTTAACCAACAATCATGCAAGCAAGGTTGTTGATCATAATGGTGGTCCGAAAGGAATGGATTGGTATCTTCCTCATCACCCGGTATTCCATCCTCAAAAACCTGATAAAGTCCGAGTGGTCTTCGATTGCTCTGCAAAGTATAACGATACCTTGAATGACCAGCTGTTACAGGGGCCGGACCTTACCAATTCACTCATAGGCGTACTAACTCGTTTCCGGCAAGAAGCCGTGGCATTCATATCCGACATTGAAGCCATGTTTTATCAAGTACGCGTAAGACCAAGCGACCGCAATGCATTACGTTTTCTATGGTGGCCGAACGGCGACTTGGATAAACCACCTGAAGAATATCGAATGAATGTGCACCTATTCGGCGGCGCATCAAGTCCAAGTTGCGCTAACTATGCGCTGAAGAAAACGGCAACAGATAACGTTGATCATTTTGATGAGAAAACTGTTGAGACCGTTCGACGCAATTTCTACGTAGATGATTGTCTAAAATCAGTCGCTGACGAAAACGAAGCCGTCAAACTCGCAAAGGATTTACGAGATATGCTCGCGCGGGGTGGCTTCAAACTCACGAAGTGGGTTTCCAACTCAAAGAAAGTTCTAGAATCGGTACCAGAATCTGAAAGAGCGGCAAAAGTAAAGAACCTAGATTTCGATCAAACCTCCATCGAAAGAGCTCTTGGTGTCGGGTGGAATGTGTCATCCGACACATTTGGCTTCTCAGTCGTTATCAAGGATCGACCCTCGACTAGGAGAGGTATACTTTCGGTCGTTAGTTCTGTCTACGACCCTTTGGGTTTTGCTGCTCCTTTCATACTAATTGCAAAACTGATTCTGCAAGATCTTTGTCGCTCGAAGCTCGATTGGGATGACCAGATCCCTGAAGAACATCTAAACCGTTGGCAAGCGTGGCTGATTGATCTTCCTAACTTGGAAAAGTTAGCCATTAATCGTTGTTTTAAACCAAAAACTGCGAATCAGTCAGGAATCAACTCTATTCAACTTCACCATTTCTCTGATGCTTCTCAGAATGGATACGGGGCAGTGACGTATCTCAGGACAGAAAACAGCTCGGGTGAAGTGACGTGTTCATTCGTCATGGGAAAATCAAGGCTAGCACCCATTAAACCTGTAACGATTCCACGAATGGAACTGTCAGCTGCCGTTGTTTCAACGAAATTAGAAAGAATGGTAAAGAATGAACTTACTCTACCTATCGATCAATCGTATTTCTGGACAGACAGTACATGCGTTTTACGTTATATAGAAAATACAGAGAAACGTTTTCAAACTTTCGTTGCTAATCGAATAGCTTCGATACACGATGCTTCTACACCCAATCAGTGGAACTACGTTGACACTGAGTCGAATCCTGCCGATGACGCGTCGAGGGGAGTTTCAGCCAATTCTCTACAACGTTGGATTGAAGGTCCGGATTTTTTGCGCAAATCTACCGAATCCTGGCCACAAAGACCAGCTGAACTAAGTTCAAACGTACCTGACGACGATCTCGAGATAAAGAAGAGCTCGGTTGTGTGTGCAAGCAATTCACCGAAACCAGCGCAAGAACCGTCTGCGGAAATATTCCAAAGGTTTTCATCCTGGACAAGATTAAAAAGAGTGATCGCATGGATGCTCCGCTTCATCACAAACATACGTCGCCGACAGCCGAATCGAGCCACAGATATTCGAACTCTCCACTTTCCTTGAGAGAATTGGCAAATGCAGAAAATTGGATCTTGAAGAGTGTACAAGCAAGTTGTTTTGCAGACGACATCCGTCGTCTTCAAAGGCTCTCCGCGTCAAGTAAAACAAGTCATCCATGTGCATCTAACAAGTCCAGTACTTTAGTCAAACTAGACCCAATCATGGAAGATGGTCTAATCCGTGTTGGAGGTCGTCTCCAACAAGCACCGATCGTATGCGACGCACAACACCAAATTATACTACCCAAGAAACATCATATAGTCTATCTGCTGATCAGATTCTATCACTACATGTCCGGGCATTCAGGCTTGGAATACACCCTATCCTTAATCCGTCAAAGGTTTTGGATCATAAAGGCAAGATCAACCATAAAGAAAATATTGAACGAATGCGTTAGCTGCAAGAAAAGACAAGCATCGGCCGTAGAACAGAAAATGGCAAGTCTACCGAAGGACCGCGTTACGCCGGCAAAGCCGCCCTTTTCATTTACTGGTGTCGATTGCTTTGGGCCATTCCAGATTCGGCGTGGTAGAGGGACAGCGAAACGTTATGGCATCATATTTACGTGTCTGACACTTCGAGCCATTCACATTGAAGTAGCAAGTTCGCTGGATACAGAATCATTCATCAACGCGTTGAGACGGTTTATTGCGAGGCGAGGCCAGCCAGAGGAAATGCGTTCAGATAATGGGGGGAATTTCGTTAAGGGAGAAAGAGAACTTCGCGAGGAAGTTGAAAAGTGGAACCAGTCTCAGATTCATGATTTTCTTGTCCAAAGAAGTATCAAGTGGACGTTTAACCCACCTGCGGGCTCACATCATGGCGGAGTGTGGGAAAATGTATTCGCACCGTTCGAAAGGTTATGAGATCAATCACAAGAGAACAAACGTTAGATGAAGAAGGCCTCAACACGCTGATGTGCGAGGTTGAATCGATCGTGAACGGACGACCCCTGACTAAATTATCAGACGATCCACGTGACCTAGAACCCTTAACCCCTAACCACCTGTTACTTTTGCGAAGTGGTACGAAGGTTCCACCAGGCGTTTTCTCCAAGGATGATAGCTATGATAGAGACGTTGGCGACAAGTGCAACATCTCGCAAATGTTTTCTGGAGGCGATGGATACGGGAATATCTACCCTCACTACAAGAGCGACAGAAATGGAACAAACAGAGACGAAATCTGGCCGTTGACGATGTCGTTTTGATCATGGACGAAAAGACGCCGCGATGCTCATGGCCTCTTGGACGTATACTAGAGGTTTACAAAAACCGGAAAGACGGACTGGTACGTTCGGTGAAGGTAAAGACCAGCACATCTGTGTTTGTGCGACCCGTGGACAAGATCATATTCCTGGAATCCGAGGCAGATACAGTGAACGATAAGTGAACCTTAAAATACCTAGCGCATGCGTCAATTAAGTTTAACGTAGATCACACGGACGGTGATGCTTCTATATAGTTAATGATTATTATCAATTGTTTCGAACCCATGTACGTGTTTGTAAAGGCTAATTTAACGCCTTTAAGGGGCCGGAATGTTGGTTTCGAAACGGAAGAGACTAACCAACGGATGTTTTCTATAATATTGTATTGGCAAAAACAACCTTGTTATTTTCCGCAGCCACAACCGCTAAACCAAAATGCGTAAGTTTAGTCAGCAAATGCGCAATGCGGTTTCCCAGCCTAACCTAGCAATGTCCGTTGCGCAAAACAACATTTCTAGATCCATTGCACGTTCCGGTATCGCTCTGCATAAATATAGGAGACTCAAGCAAACTTAAGTCAGTGTTTAACGTGGACCTGCTTGTGAGTAAGCAACTGTCGTTGGTGCCTTTATAAAATAATTGGCGCGTCAATATCTATTCACGTTGGTACTCTAGAAATCTACATACTCTACGCTATTTTTCTATAAAGGTTTGGTGCGTGCGCAAACCAAAGTAAGTAAATTTGTTAAATATAATTGTTATTCTATGCGCTATGTTCACATTTTGCGCCATTTGTTTATTTAAGTAATCTGCGCATAATTCTTTGCTATAATGTGTTAGTTTGCATGCCGCAAGTTCCAGTTAAGTATCGCTATTCCAAAACGCTAAATTCGCTGATTATTTTGCATGCCTAATTCAGTGTCTTTTGTTATATCATTGATAGCCACATATATATCGGCAATAGTAATTGTAGTGTTAAAGCATGTTATTCTCAGTATAAGTACTCGTTAATTGTCATATCATATGTATATCATAATTATCTTTCTGTGTTATATAGTCGTTTATAGTTAGTTTGTTTAATTGTTATATTCTAGTTCGAACCGATATCCAGTCGATTCTCAATCTATTTCCAGTCGATTCTCAATCGATCTACAGTCCGTTTCCAGTCGTATTATCTATACGGACAATCGTTTCTAGCTCGACTGTGTTATCCCAACGACGAGTTCGTGTTTGTCAGTCTATACCTGTAGTATCGCTGATTTATATTAAACCCTCAGAACATTGTTATCAGAATCGTCTGTCGAGTTCGTTTTGTTATCCACGCACCCGTCTATTTAGTAGTTTCGTTTGGATTATCGTTGCTATTCAAATTCTGTTCAGACGAAAGCTACAACATCAACTTCCTTTTAGCGGCATATAATTGCTAGGAATTTCCGTTGCAATCCTAGTCCGCTACATGCAAGTTGAATCGACTAAAAACAAGAATATGTCTTTGGATAAACAACTGCAAACATTGTGCGCCGAGCAAAGACTGCGATGGAATATTGAAATTTGGAATGAACAATTTGGAATGCGGAAACATCCGATAGTTGCTCTTCTACTTCCACTTTCCATATTTAGCCAGCTTGCATGTTATTGCGATCCGCGGATATCATTTGACCTCACTCGCAATTAAACTGAACTTTGAACATTACCAAACTATACAAACTATGTAATTAAGAACAGAAAATTTTTATCATAAACGTGAAGTGGCTTAGTAAAATAAAAACCCTTTGTTTTTGTTTGAAAACTAACGATATCTCACGACTAAAATTGTATTCCTGGCACGAGAAAATAAAATCCATGGGCCGTTTGTATACGAAAGCTGGTCCATGCACCAGAGTCTTATGGGTATATAGCTACCAACTAAAGGTTGCTTGAAGCCGAAATAGGTCTCAAAAACAAAGGCCTCGCGGAAATGTTGTAAGGCTTCGAGTTAATTAAAAATAGGATCCAGGAAGATTTAAGTTTTTATTTATGGACATAGCGAAATAAAAAAATAATAATATTCTATTGAATCATTCATATTTACACTGTTTTCACGAATACGTTATTATGTTATGTTATGATACAAATTGCTCAATATAATGATGTATATACTTATGAAACGTGATTCTTTTTGGTTGTGAAGTCATAGATATAAGATAGATAATACCTATATAATCATAAGGTTTCACTGGAATAAGGTTTCACAGAAAAATTTCTTTAAATCCGGGCCACCACAATCGTTTTTGGTGTAACATAAATGGCCATCACAATCGCCGTTTTCGCAGCTTAATATCCGTGAAAAGCTACTCCAAGACCATCCGTAGCAACAAAATTCAGAACTAGGGCACTCGCCGTTGTTCTTCCATGCATCATCAGTAACGAATGTAACGCACAAAATAATCCAAAATAACCATCGATTTGCCATGAAGAACGCGACAGTCACTGAACTCGGTGCTGAACCGAGCAAGAGAGGATGAAAATGTTCAGTAGCTTGGCCAGTCTGACTGTTTAGACCCACACTCCCGCTATGCTAACATGTTGGGTTTCGTTGACTGTGAGAACAATGAATTTATGAAAAAGATAATTATATAAACCTGGCTACGCTACTAAAAGTGTTATGAGTTTGAAACGCTGAAGACTCTCTTTCGCCATTATGTGAATCAGCTTGGGATTCTCGCGCTCATGCATCGTGAGCCAATCACCCTAGCTGTATTAACTGCGATGAGAACAAAACACAGGGGACCTATCAGTCAAAAACATATTCACGATCAATTTCAAGTACGCGCGCAAAAACGATTAGTAAAGAAGTTATACAGGGTGTATCAAAAAAAGGAGACCTTTAGAAATCAATAGAAATATGTAAAGGTCTGTTCACACGATCCAATTTTGTTCGATCAAATTCACTTCTGATGGATGTTTTGTAATCTGTTGTCATGTAATGTATATCAGAAGCAAATCCACTGAAGCCAATGTACTACGGCTTCACCATGCAATAGCCGACTATATTTCATATACGTCAGAAGTGAGTTGGATCCAACAAAATCGTGTGAACAGACCAAGCTGACAATATTTTACGCATTTTACGCATATATGCACAAAGCTGACAATATCTTACGCATCCAATGACTTAGCGGAAAGACGGGGCATTTAAATTATAGCAATATATTTTGATTTCTACTGAAAGGTCTTTTTTTTATACATCCTCTATATAGGTGAATCAGCATTATTGTGTATTTGTCAAAAGGTTTAATCGCGCTAAAATTTTAGCAAACATTATTAAAGCAAGACAATGCACATGAATCGAGTCATTATACAGATAATATAATTATGTGGGAAAATTATGTGGCTTTCGAGACGTCTGGAAGGTTAGAATTAGTATATGCAGCTAATCAATAATTGTCGTAATCATCGATTGTAATCATGCATGGTTGGTTGACATCAACTTCCTTTTATAGCTGCGTATAATTCCATGTATTCCATGCATAGCCATCTTCAGCTATCTTCAGTTTAAACGATCAAGCAATTTCCGTTGTAACGCGACATGAAATTTGAATCTACTGAAAACGAGAATGCCTTGGATAAACGACTGAAAACCTTATGCGTCGAGCAAAGGCTGCGATGGAATTAAAATATGAACAATTTGGAATGCGGAAATATCTGATAGTTGCTTTTCTACTTCCACTTTCCACATTTAGCTATTAATATAGCTTGAATGTTATTACAGTTCCTTGCAATCGGAAATCGTTTGACCTATAAAAACTGAACTTGGAATTAAGTTGGAACAATATCAAAATAATACGAAGTATGTAAAAAATAGTGAAATACTTATATTCTTTTTTTTATTAACTTAGCATGGCCAAATATAATAAAGAATTTTTGTTCTTTGAAAATTATGACATATTTTAAGATGTGTTCCCTGATAGAGGTGGCGAGATTTGATACAAGGAAAAGTTGCATGAAAGTACAAATTCTTTATTATTCTTAGCAATCTATAACCGGATTTGAATATTATAGTGTTTTTAGCCATCAAAACAATCGCATTTAGGTAAATATATACGCGATAATTAGCAGAAAATATAAACTTGGTTTCTGGTGACTGACGCAGACAGAACGCAGTTTTTGAGATTTTTTTGTTTTTTAAAATCAAATGAATTTTTACCCATTAGCTATAATATCTTGTAGATTATTATACTTAATGATAATACATTTCGAGCGCTCTGGCGTCCATAGATTCCAAATTTCGCTCGAGGATGAAATTTAACTGAAGAAGATTGGGGGGTTGTATTTCCCATTGTGTCTTTCGCGCATCGGTTCTGCTCGTATATAACAATAGGTAGAATACTTCAGCATTTTACTTATTTTTCTAAACACAAACGTGCTTTCACGACACACGAATTACGTTACGCTACATTTCATTGCATGTTTTGCCATCGTTTGCTAAAATTGTAACAGCTACATATAAAGTGTTAAGGAATATATCGTTTGCTAAAATTGCAATACATATAAAGTGTTAAGGGATATATTTATGGGATACGCTAGTTTGGATATATATATAATCAATAAGGAATAGCGCATTCCTTGTCGTCGCTCATAACAGTTTTTATAAACTCTGGTTCTTCGTACTGATGCTCGAAAACGTGACCAGCTTGGTGGTATTGAATTGCTAACATCAGAGAGCTGAATGTCAGGTTGTGGATTCTGGGTTACTTTTTCTTGATTTGGGGTTGTCGTTGTTGGTGATCCTTCGAATTCGTTTACATCATTTGTGTTGCTTGATCGCCTCTTTTTACAATATACGAAGACACCAATCGATGCACTAACAGCGGTAAGTAACACAACAATAACTATCACAATAGTGTGCAAAGACTCTCCGGCTGCACTACTTGGACTTCCTAGGACCTCTCAGGGCTTCGCACCTAGGTTCAGTTGACATTTATTATTGATACAAATCTCGTCAGGATGATGCTGCAAACAGTCCGAATGTTTATAACATTCAGTTAAAATTGGTGTTGAGGTGGTTATACTTGGAGGTAGATTAGTTGGCGTTCTGACAACTCCTGGTGTAGACGACGAAACACTAGTGCGCAGATGAAAGGTAGTTGAAGAAATTGTGCTTCTACGTTCGCATTTTTTGTAAATCGAATTGCAAATCTCGTTTGGACCACCACAGTCGTCAGTTGTTGAACAAGTTTCCCCAATGGTTGGGAGGAAATGAGTCGATGATGATTTTTTAATTAGTTGGCATCTACCAGAGATGCAGATCTGGTCAGGGTGATGCAAACAGTCCGAATGTTTATAACATTCAGCAAAAACTGGTGTTGATGTGGTTATGCTTGGAGGTAAATTAGTTGGCGTTGTGGCAACTACTGGTGTAGATGATGAAACACTAGGGCGCGGATGTGAAGTAGTTGGTGAAATTGTATTCTTAAGTTCGCATTTTTTGTAAATAGAATTGCAAATCTCATTTGGTACACAATCATTATCTGTTGTACAATTCACGCCAATACAGTTTACACGGCAACCAAAGTTCTCCTGTGTCCCCGGGCAACAATACTCATTTTCGTCACAGTCAGACTTCCTTTCACATTGAAAAAGACAGTTTAGTTTTGTGGTTGCTCCGTTAACACACGTACCAGCACGACAGCAAGTGTAAAATCGAGGACAGTCTTCGTTCATGTCACAAGGGTGACCGACACAACTATACCAAGTACATACTTTTTTATCATGAAATGTCTTGCTCTTGCAACAATAGTGCAAGACACCACAATTTTCTGACGTGCATTCATCAGCAGCAATTCGAACCAGGAAGAAATATTCGGAATAAATCAAAACATACAAAGCAATCCAAAATATACCACCATTTGACATGATGAACGACAGTCATGGAAATTGTGGTGGTGCACCAAGCATGGGACGATGACAATGTTTACCGCGTATAGTGTGTGCATGGAAGACTAATATAGATTTCCACTTTTGATAGGCGTGGGAGCCTCATTCCCATGCATCATGAGCCAATCATCGATCACCCTGGATTATTTGCGATATAAGAATGAGGCTCGCAGGTCAAAATGTATAATTAGCAATTTTGAAATTATCGTAATAGCATCACTGAATTTCTGCGTGCAATTTATGCATTCCTTGAAACTTTAACATGCTTGAAACATTACATAGCACAGGAATTAGACCATTTAACCTGCGTGGTTATCCATTTCAAAATATTTGACATCATAACCAAAGCATGGTTATATTGTTTAATGTTTGTATATGAGCGCCAAACATGCTGGAATCTTTACATAGGACAAGCATTTGACCATTAAAACAGCGTGGTTATCCATATCGAAATTTTTGACATCATAACCAAAGCATGGTTATATTGTTTAGACAGTTTAGTGTTTGTATATGAGCGCCAAACATGCTGGAAACTTTACTTAGGACAAGCATTTGACCACTAAAACAGCTTGGTTCCTCTCATAATTTAATCCTTCCGCTTAAGACATGCGAGAAGCCAACAACTACAGAGCCATTCGACCAGGTGGAGTATACTGATACCGTTCTCCGGCCATATTCGATGCTTGCAAGTTGCAACTTTACATAGATGTTTGTATATGAGCACCAAACACAATTGAAGCTGCATGCGCTTTACATAGCACCAGAATTAGACCGTTTAAACTGCGTGGTTATCCATATCAAAACATTTGACATCATAACCAAAGCATGGTTATATTGTTTAATGTTTGTATATGAGCACGAAGCAGGCTTGCATGGTTATATTGTTTAATGTTTGTATATGAGCACGAAGCATGCTTGCAACTTTACATAATAATAATAATAGGACAAGCATTTGACCATTAAAACAGCGTGGTTATCCATGTCAAAATATTTGACATCATAACCAAAGCATGGTTATATTGTTTAATGTTTGTATAAAAGTGCCAAACATGCTGGAAACTTTACAAAGTATATCTCCTATTTCCCAATAATCCTTGAATTGATAGGCATTTGCGGCCATTTCAGAGGCCTCTGTATATTTCAAAATTTTCACGGACTCTCCGAGCAGGCGCGCGGTTCCGAGCCCCAGCAATACGAAAAACGCTCCGCGGTCCCTGATTTTGGAGCTGCACGACAAATTTGATTTGGTCCTAATAATATCGTCATATAATTTTTATTACGACCACAAGTCATATTTCTCAGAAGACATAATCAACCCAATTTGTATCCAAAAATATACTCGACTGTTCTGTAATTCCAAATGATTCCAAACGCCATTTAGCAGTATTCGCAGGCTCTTAAGACAAATTGAGCAGTCATCTTGAATTCGCAGGGTTACCATACCATTCGCAGGGCCTGCATACTAATACAACAACCGCTGAATGTATCAAATTTCAGGCCATGATTTAAAATAACAAAGAGCAGTACTGAGTTTTCTCAAATCTTAATTTAGAGACAACTTATTTTCCCATATACAACTGTACAAAGCTCGGCAAAGTGAACAAATAGTTACATATTATAGACAATGAATATCTATGAAAAACTATTCAACATTCTTTGAGGGCCAGAAACGATAAATTAATAAATCTGCATTCGTCAATGTTTAATATTTTGCAACTATTTTTTATGAGAAGGCAACGCCACTCAGTAACTGTTGAATTTTCTCTTCATTCCGAAGTATGTTGCATTTCACAGTGCTGATTCTGTCCAGCTGGATGAAAAGAAAAGAAATATAGTCATTCCATGTATAGGTCGCCGGATTTATTTTACATACGTTTTACATACGAGGCCTCTTTCATGCGATTTTTTGTGTGTGAAAACCAAGACAGGTACGGTCATAAAACGGCCTAATTGCCAATCTAAATCTCGCAAAGCAAAACGTTATATTATATAAAGCAAAAACAAACATACCATTTCTTCAACTTCCGCTTCCATTTCTGTTAAGTGAGATTTCAGAGGCAATACTTCACTCTCTGTTATACTACATAATTATAGAAATTCATTTCTCTAAAACACCGGTACGTGAGCGTCATGCATAAAACGAAGACTTACGAGCTTTTAGTAAGAAACGTCGACGTTAGTTTCGATTTTTTAACAGTTAAAGATGCATTGGATTTCTTTAGGTAAAGTTATTAAAAGTACATTTGTTTTTCTAATTCAAACCTTTGTTCTCTTTTTAATGCAATTTGATGCTGTTTATTCTCTTCTTTCCACATTTCTAATTCCTTCTGCATGCTGTCCATATCCTCCTGGAAAAGCAAAGTAATATTTAACAATAATTCTACCATGAGATCTATATATAAAGCTTTATTTGGAATTTTTTACAACTAACATTTCAATTGAGAAAGAGCCCTCTCTTATCAATCAGCAAGGCGAAATCTTAATATACCGTATTATTACTCGTCTATTTTACACGTGACTAATCTAAGTATGCTATCTTTAATTGGAAATCTCCTTACCTGAATATAGTCCATAATTTTACCTAAGGGGTTTGCACTTCGACATAACGTTTGAATACTTTCCCGAAGTTTTTCAATCTTAAAGAAAGTTGGAAACTGCATAAGTGAATATTGTCAAGTAAAGCTGAGATAATGCAATATTATATTCTATATAACGTGTTAGGATAAATTTCGAGGTGACTATTGATTTTCCAGCATTCTGATTGGTCAAGATTCGCTGTCTCTGAAGTGATAGTCACTGGTCGGTGCCTATAGCTTTTTGCTGTTGTTTTTTAAACACAAGATTTGAAGGGATTATAATTTTTTATGAAACTATGTTGATTATTATTTGTAAACACCTCGAAATTTATACTAAAACAATCAGTCGCCTCAGGCTCGGTGATTACAAGCCTATATTCACTTCACCTCGCATTCGGCGACTTGTTGTTAAATAGTGTGATATACTATTGAATGACTCTAGCATACAGAGACATGTGGAGGTAAATAGCGTCAAAATGATACGTGCATGCGGGGGTGAAGAGAATTACCGGGAGGATGAAATTCCTACCTCTTTTTGAGCATGCTCCCGTTGCTTACGCCGATGGGCATCGTTCATGACAGGTTTCGGCTATATAAAAAAGATTATACGTCGTCAGTTCGTCAAAATAAAGAACGAGTATATTACAAAATGCATGTATTCTTGGTTTGCATATGACGTCATAATCAGTCATTCGGCGCCATCTTGGTTGATTCTACAAAGTTTACTTTTGCTTTTCAACAGAACAAACTGCGTGTGATTTGCTTTTCCCTGTTTATTTTGTAACTGCTTATCATCTCTGTCGTATTATTGGGCGGGTATTAAAATACGGCAACAAGGAAAAAATCATGTTTTGAAAAATCAACCAAGATGGTGGCACTTCCAAACCACCCATTGCTGAAAATGGAAATGTAACGTGCAGATATATAATATATAGGTATAGGTTACGCTCGTTTGGTAACGTGTGCTGTATATCAAAATGCGTCTGGCAATATATGCATACAAAAACCATTTTATTATATGTGTCTAGAGATTTATGAACCGTAGAATAAACGTCATTTTTCATGCACTCTGTGTAACTTTAAGTCATTTGATTGGACGATTTCTTCACTCGTGAAAAGTGCTGTACTTTTGTACTTATAAAAAGTGTTTCGTTATCAAATTGATCTCTATTGTATACACACAAATTAATAAACAAATTACTTCATGATTGACTTGTTTGTACAATTAAACAACATATTGTGCACTTTCTGTTGAAGTGGATTTCATTTGCCTTAATAAAGAAGCATAATTTACCTTTGATTCTGTTTTGGATTTACTCTTGCTTTCCAATTCCTTTTTGGTTTCCAACATTTTTTTAACGAGGGCGCCTACAATGAAGAATTTTCATATTAGAAGGAATTCAATGAAAAGAAAACAATATTCCATAAAACTTAGAAAATCGATTAGTTGAGAAATTTGACGTGCATTTTTTTCGATCAATGAATTACAAAGAAGCAAGTAACTCTCTTCTTACAGCAACTCAGTTATACCCAATTTACTGCGTGGTCATCCGGCTATAAAGATGTTATATGAGCTGACAGCCTGACTTAAAAGTTTGCTACTTGCTACCTATTTTCACTTTATATAGAATGAAGTCTTCGATAACACACTAAACCTTCTTTGAAAATCACAAAATTCTCTCATGCTGATGCCTCCCTGGTGTTGCATATACGGCTGCTTTTTTACAATGTTCTGAACGACCCCGCATTTCATGGCTTACTGTACAAATTATACATACCATGTTCATCTTCCGTTCCATTCTCAGCAGGTTCCGATTCACCATTCTAACAATTTCAATACAAGCATTATTTCACCTCAATATAAATCGAGAAACTCGACCTCATGCATCAAGTTTTCGCTGTAGTTACAGCTGTCACCATAGTTAGGTCCGGTTACACATGCATGCATTCAAACTTCATTCAACACTACGCACTAGTAGTGTACACATTACACACTAGTAATTACCTCAGTTTAAAACAACTGAAACTCGGTTAAAAAACAAAACCTTGTTTAAATTACCAGATAGAATTGATCAAAAAGAGATGAATCTGAGACAACCAATTCCGAATTAGTTGTTTTAACAATCTGTTTTACAGAGCACGTTTTGAAAAATTGCTACAAACACGTATAGCACTTGACGGGACAAGAAGGGATTAACAACGCCAGGAAACAACGGTTTAATGGTTACGACGAAAGGAAATTTGTATAATACTTGTGAACGTTTAGACAAAACAATGTCAAGTATAACAGAACATTTCAGTTTAAGTCGCCATTACTTTAGTATTAAACTTTTCGACAAATAAAGATTTCATATAGCCAAAGGCTAAAATTTTTGAAACTAATATCGTATATATCGATTACCGATTATAATCGATATATCGTTTATATATACACCTGCTGAGACCTACGCAATATTATTATCACTTTAAAAGCACAGGGGCCCGTTGTATCAAGCCCGTTTAGCTTAAACGGTGGATAAGGTCTATCGTTTTATTCAACAAGCAAACTAAATGTTTTCAACCTTAATACAAAGATACTGTTTACAACTACATATTCAGTGCATAATATTCAAGTTGACTCATTCAAGAAAGATGTAAAAGTGTTATTTATTTTGACTTATCCACCGTTTAAGCTAAATGGGCTTGATACAACCGGCCCCAGATATAGAAGGGACTAGACTGAGTGCCGAAATATCAATTACCCGAACCGTCTTGACCTAGTAACTCAGTTGAAAGAGTATTGGACTAGCAAACCAAAGGTCGCGGGTTCGATTCCCACCGTGACTCAGAGTAGCATCATCACAATATTCATTTCAAAAATGCAAGTTATCAACTCACATGAACGACTTCCTGGGCAACCGGCGGAGCTTCTTCAACTAAGAATGTGTCATCTTCGTCATCGTCTTTGTTGTTATCAACAATAACGTTGGCTACTTGTGCTGACGAACCAATTCTATATTAAGTAATTAGGAAACCAATTGCATTATATCTATACTTAGCTATTATTTGATGTCACCATAAAAATTTTCAAGAATACAATGCTATATTATTTGCAAATTTCATATACACCTTCATGAGTTTCGATTCTATGCATAGGCAACGGTCGAATTGTCTCAAACAAATGAAAAATATATTCATACGATACCGGTATTCGATATACCAAAATATCTTTAATTTGCTTACTTGGCGATGGTATCTTCCTGCTCTTCTTGCTGTCTTTTCTTACGTGGTGGAGCAGGACGTGCACTGCTTGGTCTCGCAAGCTTTCTTCTACAAAAAACAAGCCTTTGGTAAGTAAATGACATCGAAAACCAAAATAACGTGTATGCAGTGATGACACCAAAAATGACTTGAATACAATTCTCGCAAAAAAGAAATACTTATTTCAAACTATAGTAACCTGGCGGGCATCTCTGGTGGTAAATCATCAGTATCAACTTCGCCATTGACACTATGAGCATTCGTGCTTGGAGACTGTTCTGTTGCCTCGTCTAAAAAGGTAGAACAAGACGATAAAGGGAAAATTTCTGTAATAGAAAACCATTTTTTCCCGGCGCTCTCATACCTTTTTTCTCGGTTCCTTGCAACTAGTAGTTTAAGGTATTTAGAATTTAAGGAGTTTTAAAGAAACGGCTTTCCTGCTTAAATAGGCGATATACGCATCATTAGAAATATCCCTACTCTAATATATAAAAGTTTGTTTTAAGGTTAAAATGTAAAATTTTGTTTTAAAGTGAAAATATATTTGATTGATTAATTTGATTATTGGTTAATTTAATTTATATAGATTTAAATTTATTTACCGTCGCTGTCACCTTGTGAATCTATGTAAACAAAAAATATAACCTTTTATCAAGGTAATGACGCAGGGAACTGCAGCATTATATAATTTTGATTGAAATTCATCCATGACTTCATGTGCCCATCAAGCATAATAGGTCACTTATATATTCACTTATTCACCAAAAACGACGCCATCTTGAATTTGCCGTTGAGCGAAGGGCATTTTGGTAATAAAACTAGGAAAATACGAAATTGGCGAAAGGCTGGAAAAAATTAGAAATTATTAAGTTCAAAGTTTGTTTGGCTTAAAAAGGGTTAATAATAAAAATCAATTTCATTGTCTTCTCTCAATTGACTGTCCTCACGAAAGAGTTTATGACAATAAATTTGTTTTACTGTTTCTCAATACCAAGTACTAAACTGAACGCTTTTAAATTGTGATTTCTATCCTGTATAACGCACAATGCATGTTGATTCAAGATGGCGTCGCTATTCGTGAGTCTTATTTAAGGATAATACACGCAAAGCATTCTGGTCTTAGAGCTAAATAATGCCAGCAAGGTTTAATTTAATTAAATTTAATTTAATTTCTTAATAAAATAAAAGACTATTGTTTAAGGTTAAATTACGATTAGTTAATGCTAGGCGTCACGACTAGCTAATTAGCATGTTGATTACTTTATGGACTTGATTCTTGTTTTACGCTATCTAACGTTAGTCACCATTTTTCAAAGCAAACTTTATCGGGGAAACGGGGGGTATTGTATGCGGAGTTGGAGAACTTATTCGTCTAGTCCTAGCAAAGAGCTACCGTGTGTTTATGTTTGTTTATTTGTCTTGCCTATATCCAATCTCATATGTAAATATTTATAGTTATCTTGCAATCGCCTTTTATAGTTTTCACCGACTGGTTATCAAATAAATTTTACACCGCACAAAGAAGAGCATATTTGGTTTGCCTGTCTGGTTGACACTTCGTTCCCGTCAGCAGGGACACGACACTAGGTTAAGGTATTATTTGGTTAATTGTGGCAAAATTTTTAGTGGACATATAACTTACCATCTCCTTGTTCGTTTTTCGGTCTTCTTCTTTGTCCTTTGGCAGATGCCGGTCGGGGGATGTTTCTATTTTGAATATCATCGTCGCCATCTACATCAGTCGCATCGTTTACAACCTTTTCATTCTGATTATAATAATTAAGAGGTTAAGATTTGAGAACTCATAATTCGGTTACAACATTATCCTTATTTGACTGTATACGATTATTTCTAGGAGAGCTTCACTCCAAGATCCCTAGCCCTCTTGATAAATATTCATTATTATGAGTTTCATAGCCAATATAGCTATGTATGTCAAGAAGCATGTGAATACGAAGAACAAGGCTGTGCGCTTTACCACAAGTAATTGCGAGTTATAGCAAGTTCAGGTTTGATATTATTAATTGTCATTAACTGTCAAAAAATGACAGCTTCTTATTGGCTAATAGCTATGAGTGAAATCGACATGCCCAACGAGTGCTGTCATAACGTGGGATAAGGCTTTCTTACGCACGCTATGACGTCATAACGTGTGATAAATAATCACGACGACATCAACATCCCAAGGGAGCAGAAATGTGAAACCGACACAAATGCGAGCGATAAAGTTTAAGTGTTCACTCTTTGAAAAAAAAATAATGCAAAATTAAATTCGGCCTCCTCAATTTGTGCTTAAAAATACTTCATATCATGTGACAACCGAATTTAATAATTGTTAATTACTTGGCCACTATACTAATGCATGAGCAATCAAACATTTCAACATGCACTATTACCTGCTCCTGGAGTACTTCTTGTTTATCACTACTCCTCTCCCTCGTTCTTTCTCTTTCCCTCGCTTTTCCTTTCGAACCATCTTTTGGTTCATCTTTCCCTCTTTTCTCGAGCGATTCGTCGCGTATCCTCGTGTCACTGCTGTTTACACGACCAGAACTAGATTTCCTTTTTTTATCATCATTCTATCATTTCGAGAAACAAATGAAATAAGAAAACAACATGCTTTGGGCTTGACTGTATATAAATTGAGTGTGGTAAATTAAGGTAAATAAATAACAGGCTAAAGGAGTTAATTTCGAATGGAAATTATACACACATCTAATTTATGCCAGGAAGGGTTTAGAGAAATCATCAACTATACAGTAGGACCTCCGCCAGGAATTTAGCGATTTGGCGAATTAAAAAATGTATTGTATCTTCATAATAATAAAACTGCAGGCGCAATACGCTGGAGAAGGTCATGCAAATTTTGTCGCTTTCATCAATTGTAAACACTCAATTTCTGAAAAAGGAATCAATTTGCACTGACGCGGATATATATTGCGATAAGGACGATAGTGTTCGTCAATTTACATGAGCATATTTTATAGTAATATAGACTCTGTCACTCCGAAAACGTACCAAGAACTTATGACCACAAGAGCTGACAAGCTTCGGCTTCTAATTATAAAATAGACAAATGTACAGTAACGTATACAATGTACCTCGTTAATAGTATCTTTGTTGCTTTCTGATTCCTTTATCCTGTTCTCTTTCTCACTTGTCCTTTCTCTTCCTGATCTTGACTCTTTTCTTTTTCTATAACATTCAATATATAACATTTCTTACAGTTATAAGAAAGGATTGTTAGCTTGCATGTGTAGCTATAATGTTACATTCTAAGGTACTACAGCAATCTTCATGTGTTATAAATGCCTACATTCATTCAAACATTCTGCTTCAATAAAAAGATATTAGATAAAACACTCCAGTATTTGCAAATGGTTAACTTGGATTAAAATGCATCTATAAATGTGTCTAGCTTGTTTTGAGTCTGTGCTTTCAGGCTACAATCCATTTCATTAAATAAATTGTGCAACCATTACTTCCCCCTATCTGAATGTTGTATTTTGAATTGACTGTTAAATAAAACTTGCCTCCATTAGTGGAAACCAACACTACTCAGGGTTCGGGAGCATATATTTAGCACAAGATTGTAGAATTTCTGCTCTTATAGGTAATTTACATCCTACATCAATCTTAATTTGTTCAAAACATTTTGTCTGCCTTTAACATTAAATTGCAGTATGATTTAGACATAACTGTTTTATAAACCCTGCTAAGAACATGCAGTCAAACTCAACACTAGTGTCGATCACTACAACCATGTACTGCTACATCTTCACTAGCTGGTGTTTTATATTACACATGTTTGTGTTGTTGTGAGACTATATAATTTCATTGAAATGCAAACATATATAAATTGCAGTCGAGAAAAAATTACAATACTGTTTGTGTTTCCATGGTATACACTAGCTGTCTTTAATATTGTAATGTACAGTACAAGGTCAGACAATTTGAGGTTCAAGCTTACTTGGCTGAACCTGAGCCAGGCTTCTCTCCTCCCAACACTTTCTTTACACCATCTTTGCTATCAAGCTAAATATACAACATATATTATATTTGGTTTAATATATCAATAAGCGTATGCAATGAAAATTTTACATTATGTAACTAAAATCTAGAAATTGAACTACCCAAATCTGCAGTTCAGCAGCACAACAGGACTCATGTTAATAGTCAATGAATTCAAAGTGGTCTTTAATTAAAGGATAATCAGCACAGCAAGATGCATGTTAAATTGGCATTAAATATTAAGCATTACAGCTTAATTTTTAGTACCTTTTTTAAACAGGCTTTTCCAAGCAACTGCAAAAACTCATTCGTCTTCTCAGGCTCGTGGCCAGCGACAACTTTTGAGGGGCGGACACTCAGTGATTCTCCAGTGACAATAACTAAAATAAAAATCCGTAACATTGTTTTGGGATGAAGAAGTTGGTTATTCATATCATGTTCAAGAAATTCGATACAATACTTACTCCATTGCTGGGCAGTATTGCAGATGGGGAGAATAAATTACTAAAGCTCTAATAAACTTGCAATACATTGGTAGATTTTTAAGTGAAAATATTCTTTAGAAATTTAAATAATCAATACTGTTGTTTATAAGGTATATTAATTTCAAAATTAGGCTGTTTAATTTATTTTGCATAAACCCTGGACCTACTACTGCTCCTGGGGGAAAAGACACTTTTGAACAAGATAAAAAACTGTTCTAAATGAGTACATAATTATTTGCCACAATTGATATATCTATATGAACAAGTAATGCTGTATGCATTTAACAGTCATACTGTTGTCTAAGTTATCAATTCTGTAACACTGAAATAATAGAAATCTTTAAGCAAAGTAGCACACAGGAAAAATCAACAAATGGACTGCTTGAAAAAGTACCCTATATGTTTACTGGAATTTGTACACCACATTTTGTACTTTTTGTATATATCCCTATATAACAAACCTATAGATCAAAGATGCACATGGGGTAGAATCATTCATACTGTAAAATCATCAATGCCAAGACAGAATGTGTCTTTATTTTGTATTTGATAAGATTAGTAGAAGTGGCCACCCCTATATCTAACCTGACCTATACACCTGTACAGGCTGTAGTAATATTTCACTTTCTGTGTAATATATAAAGGCACTTTTATAGATAGCTAAAGACTAAACAATATAGACTTCTGAACATTTTTTTTTCATCCCTTCAATTACAGACCGATTTAATCGGATAGCTGGTGAATTTAATGACATGATATCACGATGAATCAAATTTATATATAATTTGAACGTTTTCAAGTATCAATAGCATTATAAACTGACCTAGACAGTCGATAGCCTTTTGCAGAAAAGCAATTTTTGCCTCTTTTTCCTAGAAAAAGATATAAATCGCACAGAAATATCAATGCTTCTACCGTTGCCATATGAACTGTTTATATAAATACATAAACTCGTGAATATTTCTACCTTGACATTTGCTGAGTTCATCTCATCATTTTGATACAAACCCTTGAAAAATCCATTTGTTTTGATCACCTATAAGATAGATAGGATGTCATAGCATTACATTTGTGAGTCAAAGTATCGAAGATTTGTAAAGGTACATTCGAAAAATAACACAAGCGACAATTCTACCTCCGTGACAATGTCGTGAAGGAAGCGAAACGGTGGTTTATTCAGCAGTTTCTCGGTCATAGGAGGTTTTTTAATAACCTTTCCTAATGTATCTTGCGTTTTCTTGATAACCTCGGAATCCATATTGTACTATTTTGTCACGACATCGTTTTATAGGTATAAAATCAAACAAATCGCTGATACTGTATGTTTTCAAATTTTTGTACTCCTCTTTTCGTTTTGTATTCGAGACCGCCTTGCGTGTTTATTCGCGCGAGCAGGTAGTCCGCGCGCGGGCTACTTGAGAGGTAATCGGGGAATCAGGGAACGGGGAATTTGGGAATCGGGGAATAGACCTTTTCGGTAATTGCGTCACAACATTATCGTTTTACATTTAGAACTCCTTAAATCAGATAGATTTCAAGTTTTATTCTCAAAAGCTATGTGCAAAGATACAAAGCATCCTTCTATAACCCGTGCATAAAAAATAATTTTTCATTTTGACTAATATGTATCGAAATAAGCCATAAGGCGGGAACGAGGCTCACGGTCTTGGCCCCTCAGCCTCGTTCTCGTGAATATTTTCCCTTTGAACGGTCAGGGTCTCCGGCAAAAGATTCTTGCCAAGATCTTTCCAAAAGCATGGTGGTGTTTAGGTGAAATAAAGCTATTTATATATAGCACCGTTTTCAACATTGAACTATACAAAGTTTGCTTATGCGCTGGCAGCGCAGGTAATACTGGTATGATAATATGTAAGACAACCTTGGACGATTTTTCTGTTTTAAACCGTTCAGAAGTTTTGAAATGCTGTATGGCATAACAAGACGAGTTTCAAGGAGTTTGTTCTGTTTCTTATTTTAACGCTGGACTGCCACTATGACGTTTGATTAAAGGCACTAAAAATATGTACAGAGACGGTTTGATTGCCAAAGCTGCAATTAAGGGCACCACTAGTGTGGTTTAAAGGCCTATTTATGCTTTATAAAAAGATTTGGACACGTGTAAGTGGGAATACGTTGGAAACAAAAAGTGTTTTTCATCACAAAAGGGCACTTTTAGTCCCTTGAAAAATTTGGGAGGGGGGCACGTGAGGTCAACTTTCATTTTTCTCTGTCTCCAAGACTGCTGCACATGCTGTACCTACCTTTGCCGGGGTGAAATCACAATGATCCTCAACACCCCCTAAATGGCACTTGAGCGGTTTTGCATTCAAATATAACAAAAAATTATGCTGTCAATACTGGCATGCAAATATCTTTCCACAAGTATTTTTATGCATTGTAAATACCTTTTTACAAGTATTTGTATGCACTGCAAATACCTTTTTACAAGTGTTTGTATGCATTGCAAATACCTTTTTACAAGTATTTGTATGCATTGCAAATACCTTTTTACAAGTGTTTGTGTGCATTGCAAATACCTTTTTACAAGTATTTGTATTGCATGCGTTGCACCAGAAGTGTTTAAAACTTTTGTCTGTAGAATTACACTGTCAGCATAGTATAGTTATTGTTAAAACGAAACCTTTGAGTATAATTGGGGGGGGGGCACATTTTCATATATTCATGTTGCGCAAGATCAATTTCTTTACATATCGTAAGTCTTTACAAGTCTGTTAACATAAATATATATGAATATCTACTGGTACATTACATTTAACGGATAAGCATAAACTGGTTTTAGTACACTGATTTACTATTCAATGCAATTTATTATTGCATGATTGGAAAGTAGCACAATCTGATTGGTTAAGTATTACACGTGACCATTTTGCTTAAATCGATACCGAAATGGGAGACAAAAGGACCACAGGTAAAAACATTGCATGGGTTCTGTTTGGGAACAGTTTCGCATAAGGCAACTTGAGGTGTAGCTTAAAGGCCTTAAACCTGGCGCACAGAGGTGAACTTTTAATAAATCTTTGCTAGCTTTCATTTGTACCTGATGTATAGCAGAATAAATATACTTTGATATGTAAATATAAGTTTGCAAGGGCTTCTTTTCCTCCAAAGTCGGCATGCATGTTGTACCTACTACCTCTGCCCTCTGGCGGGAAAAATTTACCAGGCATGAACTTCAACAACCCCCGATGAAGCAATTGTTATATAACAGAACATTAAACAACAGACTTCTTATGCCTGGCATTCCGTGTACTAGTACCTTTAAATATTAAGTTATCAATCTATTAAAAAGGTTAAGCAAATATTTAGTAAGCGGTACTTGAAAGTTGAATTGTTCTGCATGTGTCTGCATAATGTACATCTAGCAGCCGTGCAAAATTACATACACTTGACAGTTGTTGCAACTGGCATAGGCATGTACCTTCTTCAATTGTACTTTCGCTTCTACAGAAGGCAGACGTTCCAAAAGATGTCCTCAAAAAGGTACCCCAAGTGAAATGAGATTTTTTTAACGAGGGTTGTGATCATTAAAGGTTGTGAGACCTCTTGAAATTTAACTGATGAATGCATGGCTGAAAAATTTTAACTTCTCAGCGATAACACGGCGATAATATCAGGAAAAAATCACACAAATATAAACGGTTTCTTTTTCCTTACAAGTTACAACAAATAAGTTCTGTAGTCAGTTGCAGCGTTGTATTCGAATTGGCGGTATAAGACGAATTTGTGATTTGACATCCTCGTACTGATGTTTGTGAAGAGGAATAAATTTTAGAAGAATCATAAATTAAAGAACAAGAAGAAATTGAAGAATAATAATAAATAAGAATGAAGAATAAAATCATTCCCATGCATGCAAGAGTATAACTACACAATTTCACAACAAAAGATCTGATTTCAATAAAGGGTACCCGGCTTTATTGGGACATCCTGCAGATCTAAGTTTTTGCAAAATGGAAAATTACACCATGCATTTACACGGCATGATTAAAATTGCTCCTATTGTAGCACTGATATACCTACGTGTCTTAAAGATAAATTTGATAAAGTCTGGTTTTCGTCTCCAACTCTAATCAATGATATAATCACCGACAGTCGGTGATGTAGCGTGGTGCAGCTGACATCTGAATCGAATCTGCCGTTTTGATGACTCATTGATCATGAGGAAAAATTTCACCGTGTTTGTTTTTTCCATCTACGCGAGGAAAAAATCTTACGCCTGGGAAGGCATGCTGTAAAACACTGATCAGACTGGACCATGGATTCGACTCGAAACGCAGAGACTCAGTGATTTGTAAAACACGGATCCAATCAGCGATTTGTTAAAAACTGACTCATTCCATGTTTTTACAAATCAATTAATGTTTTATAAATCACAGAAGATCGTCGAAACAAAATCCGTAAATTAGTATTAGCTGATACATGCAGAGCTATGAAGTATCAAATCAATAGTGATAAACTTTTCTTTATGATGAGAACATTTAGCCAGCATGCTGTCTTAGTACCCATTATAGCTCATTATTCATTTTGTTGTCGTCGGTCATTTATGAGCTGATTAGCTGATTAAGATGAATTTGTCTTCGAAACCAGCCAACTATAAAAAGTATATAATAAGTGAATCTTTAATAAGTGAAAGTATATCAGTAACAAGTGAATCTTTATTTTCTAGTTTCTGTCATCATTGTAAAGATATCACCTAAACCTATTGCCAATGTATTCATCGTCGATATATTTATGGTGGTCAGGATAGAAGAAATGGACCTTTTTGTTGCCTAAATAAAAAATTGCTCTATTATGCAAGTGGTGCATTTATTAAAACCAATAAAGCACTCAATTCACAGACGATAACCCCCATCGACGACTGTCGTTGACAAATGAGAACCAGGCCTCATGGCTGAAAACCATTAACCTTTCCTAATAGCGCATGCGCGCACCCTCGAATTTTTTTCCCTGTGATAGTACATAAAAGAAGATACTGCGAAAAGTTTCGACTCATTCAAAGAGAGCACAGAGAGATGAATATCATGAAAACATTTCTTCTCGGAGTAGCTGTAGAGCTCGTTTTCGCAAGCTTTGTCTGTTTGGCAAGCGCAAACCTTGGCCCTCTCGGTCAAGGATTTTATTTACCTTCCAGTGACATACTCGGAGATTATGAGGCTGGAACAACCATCTTCAGTACCATTAAACCATCGTGTGTAAAAGACGTGGAGAGGCCAGTGACCAGACAGGATAGGACGTTCTTTCAGTCATCGGAATCTTTTTATCAGTACGTATCAACACAAACCGACGTTTCCGCAAAATTAATTGGCTCTTTCACGATGGGAACCACCCTAAAGGTAGTGTCGAAATCCGTTAGCAGTAGTTCACATGAATCAAGTGGCTTAACAATTGATATTTTCAGTATTAAAAACGCAAAAGTTGTTTCAAGTCAATGCCAGAACACTCTTCCGCTTTCCAAGGAGTTTCTGGAAGATTTTTCGAAATTGCCAGTGACCATAGAGAACCCCAACAGCAGGAATGACTGGCTGCCGTACCATTCATTTCTCGAGAAATATGGTTCACACATAGTGAAGGAGATTCAATACGGCTCTCGTATTCAACAGTGGAATTTCGCCTCATCTTCCAAAGGGTACTCCGAAAAAGATTTCAACACACGCGCGTGCCTTGATCTTTCGTCAAACACTGGCTCGATGAAAGTAGCCACCTGCACTGATTATTCAAAGAAGCAGATAAAGCGCGCGAAAAAAATGACCATGAGCGATTTGCTCGTCGTGAAAGGAGGGACACCGGAGACAAGGGCAAAATTACGCAAGGAACGGACAGCGGAACTAATTGAAAAATTTATGCTCGAAGCGCAGAGTTCGCCTGGAAGAATCTTGTACAAGTGGACTGGAATTTGGAATTTGTTAAAGCAACGGTTCATTGGAGTGGGGAATGACGATCAGCTATCTCGCGCCTTGAACATGGAGATATACTACAAAGCCGTGCTTGATTTTGGATGCACTTTTTCTTCTAAAAGTGATCTAAATCTCAGGTGGTTAGAGCGAAATACACAATCGAAGCTACCGGATTATTCATGCATGCTTGCAGCTTTAGGTTGCCGGAGCGGGGATGATTGCCATATTGGAGGTTGGGGGTCTGTGTGTTACTGCTATGGTAAAACATGTGTTGACACTGAGAAGGTAAGAAGAAGTGTATTACGTTTCGATAAAAAGGATTAGGAATTATATTGATTAATTTTACATTTCGGTAAACTGATAAAAATATACTAAATATGCAATATACTAACTCTCCTGGTGAAAACCCTTACGTTGAAACGTCGTTTATTTCAGGCAGTTGTTATAGCTACGTCCACAATTGATGCGAAGTTGTTTGGTTATTATTGTTTTATCCATATATCTGCACAGCAAGATAGACCGAATACTATGTAACAAAGCGAGTCTTACTCACAGACTTTCATTATTTGCTTTTACTTGCCAAACCCGCAGTGCGCAAGTCTGAACTTCGGAGCTATAGGTAGTGAACACGGTGAGATATCCATATATTAATTATAGTTTTCGACCATATTATTCGCTCGCAAAGATTTGGTGGCTGTCTTGGTCTAGCAATTAAAATACGTACGTGCATAATTGTCTTCTTGTCTACCAGTGTCTCGATCTGGAAACAATTCCATTATACTTCCTTTATTTCTTCATTAAACAGAGCCGCCTGCTAAACCGTATATTTATATGCAAAACTTAGGGAATTGCCACAGATTAATACCCAGATGTTTCTCTTCTGATTAAAAAGCCTAACTGCGTAAGCGCTTGCTCAGCAATAATAATAATAATATATATTTTCAAACATATTTCATAATTTTCATTTAAAAAGTGTCTGAATATCTTTACATTGAATGGTACATATATTCCGCTTCATTTGAACACATCGTGCAGTTTTTCACTTCAATTCAGTTCGGCTTCATTTTCAAACAATATTTCGGGGGGGGGGTTAAGGCCTCTAGTCACGTGCTAAGCATGCGCAGCAAGCGATCAAACTTCTTGTCACAACCAGTGACTGGTCACAACTGTCTAGTATTCAACTTGAGAATTTCATTCTTCTATGTATATAGGTAAACAACCAAGACAGCAAGATAAAGGAAAATCGATTCATAAAGAAAAACAAAAAAGGTAGTTATAAAGAAGGCGTTAACAAAAGTTGTTATTATCATGCGGGCGCGACCTGTCGATGCCATAAAGATTGGGACGAACCTAAGAAGGTGTGGCAATCGAATGACGAATTAAAATCTCGTGAGCTCCTATTTGGAGTGCATTTCAAAGTAAACGACGAGATAAACTATCACGGTTAACAATACTTTTAAGCAGTTCGTTACATGGATTTATTATGATTTGCATGAGAACAGTAGTTGTAGAACTCCTTGTTTTGGTAGTAAGATAATTGCATATGATATAAATGGAATTAATTGATATTATTGTGTGTTAAAGAATCAATCAGCTTATTGCATGCGTCAGACATATATTACTGATGTGAAAAAAATCTTTCGCGTTAAAAAACAATAAATGATCTTTTGAATTTGACGAGTTAAAATTTAAAATATTCAGTAATCGGTGGTTTAGCTATATCATACCACGCTTATATAGCTATTATGCTGATTACTGAGGCTTTGTCCACATGATCGTGCATGTCGATATGTTGTGTCAAACCTTTTTGGATCATTCCAATGCCTCATGTACCCATGCAGTATTATATTATTCTATTGCCCCTAGTGCCGTATTTTATTATCTAACCACTTTATTATCTAACTACTTAATTTCCCAACTGACTGCAGTACCCAGTATTTCATAATATAACCACTCTATTGCCGGATGCGTGGTCATGTATTTCGCAATGGTCATGAATTTCGCTTGACACCGGTGTACCGAGTGAGCGGGGCCTAAGCATGACGGTAATCTTCTTGGTAAGGCGTTTTTTCGAACGCCGTTATAAAGAGGCTGTAGCGAAGCTTTACCCAGCCCTAGCTGCATCATAGTTAACATGCGGGTGAATTCACACAATGATGATCTACTTATTGGCTTACATAGTGAGGGTGTTTGCGGAGAAGCGCCTTAATTTGTCCACCTGAATCCTCCGACGTCTTGATTCAGTTGATTGCGTATTCGACCATCGATGGCGAGCTGTCCAGGATGTACAGGAATATTTACACCGGATCGTGGTTTATTCAAACACTCATGAAGCAGTTTAATAAGCTTGCCCTGAGCAACCATCTAATGGATATCATGACAAGCGTAAATGACGACATAGCGGCAACTGTATTTTGGGGGCAAAAGAATGATGCCAATGGACCTTTTTCATAATGACGTCAAACGAGGAAAGTATGATGTTACACGAAGTTTGATTGGCTCGATAGTTTTGTGGAGCCAATCAAATTTCGTGTAACATCGGACTTTCCGCGTTTGACGTCATTATAAGAAAGGTCTATTCAAGGTTTTCATGTTCCGATCGCTGCAATTCCAGACGAAACAAATCAAACTATAAACAAACGATTGTCAAAAAGTTTTTCTCTTTTTCAAGTTAGGAATGCAAATTGATTTATTCACAGTTAGCATTACGCGGGGTTTCGAACTAGGTTAACCATGCGAAGGAACACCCGAAAATCGAATCCCTGGTTCACAATTGTGCATTTTTGTATCGCTATCGAAGAGAATACTGTTGAATAAGTTAAAATGTTTAATTTTTCTTCTGAATACGTATTCTACAATCTTTTGACAGCTCGTGATACACATTTGACAGCTGTGAATTGACCATTTTGAGGCTTAAAGTATACATACGGTTAATAATTCAAACAATTTGTTTTTACCGTGTGCAAGCTTCATGCATGCTTCTGTGGAAATTATATCTGGCTGAGCATTTATAAATCTTTTTGCTCACCAAATTTGAAGTCTAAGTATTGTGGCTTAAGTCTTACCAATTTCCGCGGTGTCAGGTGAAGGCGATGACAATTTTGGAACAATAAATAGGCGTCAGTGATATTTAAAAATTAAAATTGGACAAGCCGTCGGAACGGGCGAGTAGTAGTATTAAGGGCTTTAAGATCACTTTGAGATATTGAAATGAGTAAATAATATGATCCTGGCAGTCGTGTTGTTATCGACAATAGTATTGTGCATGCTTTTTTGTTGTCATAAAGACTTATTTTTATATTTCCCAAATCATCTCTCGTTTCTTTGAATCTCTGGTCCGAGTTCATGTGATGTAAACAGCCACATATATGATGTAATATATGGTCCGAGTTCATGTGATGTAAACAGCCACATATATGATGTAATATATGGTCCGAGTTCATGTGATGTAAGTATAGGTTATCACATGAGGGGCGAGGTGATATCAGTTTTATCGCTTGAGGGACGATATCATAAATGTCACGAGTGAGCGCAGCGAACGAGGGACATTTATGATATCGTCCTGAAAGCGATAAAACTGATATCACCTCGTCTCGATTGTGATAACCTGTTTATCACATACTTCTTTTTGATCTATAAAGCAATCGACATTGACTGAAACAAACCTCGAATTGCTCGAGTCAGCCATCTTTGTTTTGACAGCGGCAAATGCAGCGGGACAAAAAGCGATATCAGTGACAAAAAGCGATATCAGTGACAAAAAGCGATATCAGTGACGATATCGTTTTTATGTCACCCTGTTATCGCCCTGATAAAGGCACAAGTATGTGATAAACAGCCTTATATAGGCTCTGTGCACACGAGCGTCATTTTCAAGCGTTTCAAAATCTTTTTGTCTATTTTGTTGTTTTGACGCCCTTGTACACACGATCCAAGCAAAAATATGTTAAATATGATAAATTAGTTTCAACTTCTATTGTAAATTGACGGTGTTTGAAACGGTTTTGGCATGAAAACGAATGTGAAAATGCTCGAAAACGTTACCGTGTGCACATAGCCTTAATCCTCTGTTGTACGAGCAACATCACATAATTATTTGTTTTACCTGTATTTTCGATTTTTTTCCAATGGGTGCATGATTTCAGTAGTCTCCTAAGTTTTTGGGGACACCCTGTATAACCAAAATGGCTACAATACAAATACTGAAACATTGTGAAATTGAAAACATGCCCCTGAATTATAATGATTTAAGATATGTTTCGGGTTCCGGGTCTCCCCTAAAATGTAAGTTTCAATTTCATTTTGTAACAATTAGATCATGTAATACATCATTCGGGCCGTTTATATATATGTATCATAAATATGGACCAATTTATCACTGAAAGAGAAGAAGTACAAGGAACGCAAGTATGTAAACTTCTAAGAACATTTCTAATTTCCAAATGAGTTAATCCAATTTAATATTTATATAAAAAACGAAAGTGTCTAAATAAATTCACGTAGGTAATCGATAACTCATCGATATCTTTTAAGCAATAATAAGTTATCGTTCAATATATGGGATCGAGATCTTTGTATGAACACTACAGTCAGCTACTATCAACTCATATACGACTCGACTTCCTGGTATGATTAAGTTCATTTAGTCGTAATTAAGTGTCGTGAAGAGTCATGCATGTCAAGGTGGCTGATGCGATATAGAATATTTCTATATAATTATACTTGTGTGCGGTCAACAATGACCGATTTGAATACAGAAATAAAGTCAAATTTACAACCGGGCTATATTTCTCATAGTATATGGCTATATATCTCTTAGCTATTTAGGGCTACCTGCACAATAGTCTGGATGATGATTACATGCTTTCAATATTTCAAACCAGAGTAACAATAATAGCGCCATCGCTTCCACGCTGTATTATCGTTATTCTGCATGGTCTTAAATAACGAAAGTAACCTGGTTGCCGTGAACTTAATTATTAACTTCAAGCTTTCGGCACGTGAAAAGTTCGACGTTTGAAACGAGCCTTTATGTGAAAACTATGTGTTTCAGTGGGACTTCAGGGTGGTCGGAAAAATAATTAGCGTACAGCTTCAGTTATATGCTAGCTATTTTTACAACGAGATATTTTGGCTCAGTTCAATGAATAAATAATTTTGTTTTCCGTTTAAACAATGAACGCCTTAATTTCGAACTGCATGAACCGCCGGCCCCATGAAGGGTAGGTTGTATAAAAAGTATAGTCAACTATGCATGGTAGTGGCAGATTTGAAGATAAAACTCATTTACTCTTATTTCAGGTATTATTAAATCGTAGTTAACTATATAAGATAAATGGGATCCTCCTATGTTGACTTATTCTACTAATACGCAACTATATGTTTTGAAGCAGCAAACTAACTGAGCATTTCTTCCACGCCTCGTTATCAGGATTGCCAGGTTAAAAAACAAAAATATGATAATAATATTTACTTAATATTTCATCCGTAAACTGGCAACTCTATTCAATATCATATGATAATATAAAGTTGATCACGTGCATGTAACCGTGGTGATATATCAAAATTATGATGATGCAATCGCTGAACCTTTCCACGTAGTATATATTAAGTATAACTTTCAGAGAGATTAATGTTCGAATCGATTATTTCTAGCCCTGTTCATGCAAAACCAGTTTGCAAAATGAAATGGAGGATGAAATAGAGGAAAAAGACTGTTCTTGCAAAGAAAAAGGATTGGGTGACGAGACGCGCAAGAATGGTGCAAGCGTTGCTGCGTGTAAGGAAGGCAAATCTGATAGTCATATCAAAACAGATGATTCTGGACTACGCGAGAAAAGCACCGAAAAGAAGGTGTCGTCTTATTCTGGCGGAACTAATATGTGGTCATATAATAAGTTCCCACAGGTAAGAATATATCTTGGTGGTTTCAATCGGACAAACCTGGAATAATATATATGTTATTAGTATATATAAAATTTTTAAAAATATTTTGGATAGTGAAAAAAATGTAGTTAAACCCATAATACACGACGCTGCTTGGCCAATTCTGTCACTATATTGTCATACACGACCGGCTTCTTAAGTTAAATGAGCTTTTTTGTGACCGCGTCGCAATAACATGCAGAGTCAGAGATGATTTATTTCATAATATTAAATAAAATAACAAAACTGACATTATTTTATTTCAAGCTCGAGCTAAAATATGAACGTTGATTATATTATAGCGAAAATATAACGGGCTATTTTGCTAACGACCTTTAACTTTCTTATCCCCCCATACGTTAATCTACAGGATGTTAATTGAATTGTTATAATTAATGATACAATTCAAAGCAGGTATTTTGCAAATAGCTAAAATTACTTGTTAAAAACACTGCCTTTTGAACGAAAATAAAGGTGCGTGGTTTCATGCATGAGTGATGTAAAATTACAGGTCTAGATGACAGTTTAACAATTTCTTTATATACACGCCCAGACCAAGGAGCTAAATTCGTATTCATCAGCTAAATTTGACAATTTTATTCTCCAGACATACTATTTTAATGGCGTCCGTCTGGCTGATGATGTCGTTGGTTCTGTGACCATGCCAAAAATATCGACCACTCGCTCTTGTGAAACTTCTGATCTCAATAAGGAAATACCGGATACACGCGGCCCCCAACACATGTCACAAGAGAATGCGATAGGTAGGTCGGCTGAATTAATTTATACCAGGTGTACCACCAACAAACTGGTCAATACGTCGTGCAAAGCTGGTAAATGACGTGTTCATTTTTTTGCATGAAAAAATCGGTTCGGAGAATGTTAGTAAAAGCAAGCGTGTCACATTTCAATGTCATGTTATGTTTTTATGTTATGTTTATAATTATGTTATATTATGCCTCATATTCAAATCAGTCCAATCAAAAATTGTCCCGCATCGCATCCCAGCCCCCTATTTCTGAGCTAGGAACATTAACCTATCATATCATCACTTTGGGAAATATTTCACCGAATCCTCCGAGCGGAGGGTCTGTAAATTATAATTGTGTTGTTCTATTTGATGTTATCTTCGCTCCTTGGTGGTGAAGAAAAAGGCCAAATAAAAGCACGAATAGAAAAATAAGTTATGTTATGCTGTTACATTATGTTATAATATGTATCAATATTCCCAGAAGCAAGCACGAAAAAAAAACCAAACAAAAATTATTTTTGTTTCTCGGACTTAGCTGAAGAAAATGACTTAACTTGCAACTTTGCATCAGAAGCTCTGTTGAAACGGGTTTACAAAATAAACAAAGGGTACGCATTAATAGTACACAACAGATTTTTCAACAATCTCTCGACAAGAGATGGATCAGAGAAAGACCTGGACGCCATAAGATCATTCTGTGAAGAAGCCAACCTGAAGACCGACGTACAGGAGAACCTGGCAGTACGCGAAATCCGCGACCATTGCAAGAGGCTTACGGGAGATGGAAAAATATTTCAAAACTATGACGGTTTTGTTTGTTTTATACTTAGCCACGGAAGGAGGTAAATTTTCACGAAATAGTTTCCCTTTTATCTTTGTTCATGGACGGAAGGCGTTTGTCGGTTCGAACGTCGCCCACGTTATGGATTTCATCATTTTCATGCAGTACAACAAAACGGGCTGTAACAAAACAGCAAAACTTAATTTTCCCAACCCTACATCCAAGCGAACTTGCAGTTGAATGTGTAATGTAGGCTAGTGAAATGATGCTCTTCTTATTTTTCTACATAGTGGCGGTATTTACGGCGTATGTGGAGAAACTATAAGCGTTGAGGAAATCGTCTTCTATTTTAAAGAAAATAGTGACCTCTTGGAAAAGCCCAAGCTGTTCTTCATCCAAGCATGTCGAACCGGCGATATGGAGGAGGACGATGGAACTGAGGATAGCGATGTGAAGAAGCGCCTTTGTCCACCTGGGGCCGGTTGTATCAAGCCCGTTTAGCTTAAACGGTGGATAAGCTCAAAATAGAAAGCAAGTCTAACGTTTTATTCAACAAGCAAACTAAATGTTTTTCACCTTAATACAAAGATACTGTTTACAACTACATATTCAGTGCATGATATTCAATTTGACTCATTCAAGAGAGATGTAAGAGTGTTATTTAATTTTGACTTATCCACCGTTTAAGCTAAACGGGCTTGATACAACCGGCCCCAGAATCTTCTGATGTATTGATCGCGTATTCGACAATCGATGGCGAGCTGTCGTACAGGAATATTTACACCGGATCGTGGTTTATTCAAACACTCATGAAGCAGTTTAATAAGCTTGGGCTGAGTAACCATCTAATGGATATCATGACAACAGTAAATGATGACATAGCGGGAACTGAGTTTGGGGACAAAAGAATGATGCCAATTCAAGTTTCAACTCTCACAAAGTTTGTCTTTTTTAAAATGGCGACCTCTGCCGAAATGATAAATGCAAAACATATACATCAAAACAGGTACACTCATGACCAGGACGATGTAGGAAGTAGTAGTAATTGCTCTCTTATGTAGATTTAAGATGATTTTACACGGAACAGAATATCGTAGTGTAAAGCTGCTTTACAGTGGAGTGCAATTCGGTGTGAGAAAAAAGAAACGCATGTTAATAAAACCACAATAGGACAATCGCAGTGGTAGGAAAAATGTAAACTTCGTAGACAGACATAATAATTGCAGAATAACAGGAATTATAAATAACAGGTGCTAGATATAGACACTGCAAGAGACAAAAAATGATTATATGATTGTTTAAAATTTTAAGAACTTAAACGTTGAGGGTATAGGAAAAAGTTTTGCACAGAATTGCATTTGCATGGAAAACGAAAATATTTAAAACCCTTTCCGGAGAGTCCGTCCGGTTTTATATACTATATAAAGAACAATGGTAATACCGAGATCGACAATGCCTTAAAGGGATGTTCTGCGGGAAAAAGCAGTTCATTCATTCATTATCAACTTCGCTATCACGAGTTCTCTGGTGCAACTTCAGGATGATCTATTTCAAAAGCGGAAAGTTTTTTCGCAATGTTCTCTACACCGTTGCGTGGAAATCCGACGAGAGTAACAATGTATATGAACGATCATAGTATGAACGATCCCATAGGCATAGGCATAGTGCAATTTCTTGAATAATGCAGGAACGATTAAGGTCGATAAAGATGTCAAGTTGTGATAAAGAAAAATTGTGATCTTCAAAATTAAGGTTAATCGTGTAATAATCATTTCGCTCTTGTCAATACGCTTTCCACATAAAAACGCTTTCTACATTAAAACGTATCATAAATTCAAATAAACAATTCGTCTATCATTCACGTTAGATTGGGACGACGAAATAAACTGTTAACGAGCTACAAATCGTCGAATCAGTCTTATATAAAGTAAAGATAAGTAACAACAGGTCGGACTGGCTAATTTCTGAAGGTTCGCTGCTTTTGAAAAAGCCTACAAACGAAAATCTCCACAGCAATGAATAGAAATTCAACGAATTATCCTCGTATATTTTGAAAAGATTATTAATAACATTACTATTATCATTAAAATTAAACTTGACCCATTAATCAAACTTTTAAATGCGAGTTGTCTCATCTATTCTAATTATCTGCATGCAATGCGAACACGCATCAACCATCATCAATGCGATTCGTCCTCCTCAGCGGACTCAATAGCTTTGAAAGAAAATGGCACAAACAAATAGCCGTTACCGTCGTAAAACTTGTTCATAAACTCCACCCTAAACACGAAGGAGAGAAAAATTCAAGAACTTCGTGCCAACTACATGTGGTATATAATTTTCTCGCTATATATAAAATACAGCTGTATTAAATATGAATAATAGTTACACAAATCGACACATAATATTATTATATGTATAATGTTAAAAAAAACTATATAAAATGAAGGGGCCATGCACTAATGTGAAAACATAACAGCATTACAGTATATGGTGCAATTCTGAATTTCCTGAGCAGGCGAGGGTACTAATTTCGCCCAACAATGCAATGCGAAAATGAAGTTGTTCGTCTAGACGTTGGGCGATTTTGTAAGTTATGGTTAACTGGTAACTAGAAACGTTGCAAACGTGCGATTGGTCAACATAACGGCCATTTTAAAACTTTTGAAATGATATTTTTTATTTCGGATCATCTTCCAAGGGTACAGAGAATTGACCAGTAAAATTTATTCAAAGGGAATGTAAAAGATGCCTTCGGACAGAAAAACAGTGATTCAAATACTGTAGATGGTAAAAAATTACGATTTTCAAGTCTTACTTAATTAGAGTGTTTTTTTGAGGGTAAAGGGTAGATTTTTTTATTTAAAAGCACGGATGGTATGTGGAATTACCAACAATTGCATGACAACTCTTTGCTGTTATTCAGTAATTTCGTTTAAATTAATTTGAATTGGGGAAAAGCAGTTGAAATTTTCTAAAAAATTGCAGTAAAAGTATTTTAAATTATTTGTAACAATTTTGATATTATTTTATGATTGAATTTGACAGCTCCAGAGTCGGTATTTAACAGAGGATTTTAACGGAATTTGATAGAGGATTTTACTTATATATTTGGGAAATCGAATTTGATTCATCTTCAGCACAGCGGAATTGATTTCTGCTAGCGCAATGTATACGATTACGCCAACCAAACACGTAAACAAAACTTACCAATGCAGACGAAGCGCGTGAAGAAATGCTGACAATCCTTCCATGACAAGCAGAATAGCAACGGTCATCCCTAGGGTAAGACGAGTACATTTGAAGATACGGGCATTGCGGGATTTAAAAAACCTTGTTCATTTTATCGCTCCAGATCACACAAAGTTCACTGGGATCAAGTTAGTTGGTGACAGTGAACTCAAATAAAACTGGAACGCTCACTCTATGACTTTCCCTCATTGATGAGTGAAGCCAAGATGGCGGATCATGATGCCTTTCTTGTAGGTATGATCCAGGCCTCTGGCGCGGAAACTTCAAAGGAAAAATCAGAATTCCCGACAAAATTTCTGCGTGGAGGCCTGGATCATACCTACAAGAAAGGCTTCATGATCCGCCATCTTGGCTTCAAACTTCCGGCAGAGTGAGCGTTCCAGTTTTATTTCAGTTCACTGGTTGGTGATGATGACGAAATCACGTACCTGCCCAAGCAGCGAAAATAAGGAATACAGCAACACTGCCGAATCCGCTACTGATCCCAAGAGCAAAGGTAAACACCATTTTCCAAAGAACCTCGGATAATTCTAATATTGGAGGCATGCGAGTTTTAGTAAAGCAACTCCATGAAAGCACACACTGTAAAAATGCCAATAGATGCAAAACATATCTTTAGCAAAAATAATTACATTGCATGTGCATACCTGCATGAGCCAAACTCAAAGCCCAGAGCCGAAGGTAGGACGCAGTGTTTGAAATGCACCCCAAGCAAAATTCGATAGTTTCAATGACTTGATGAATGAAGATTTCACCAAATTCAAACTGAAAAGCATCACGAGAACATTAATATTACATTTCGATGAGATGGAATAACAAGCAGAAAATACATTTTCAACAGTATTATCTATGACTGGAGTTGATTATTAGAGCCATGAAAACTGATTGGATGTTGCCTCGTGATGGCCAGATGTTAGCTATATGTACTCTGCTTTCTTTTGTTTTTCGGGCAAACTTATTGACGGTTCTACACGCGGCTTGTTTTCCTAATTTATTTCAGTAAACAGTGAGGAAAAGGAAAAACGTAAAAGAAAAAAACATAATGGTCTACAGTGGCCGCTTGAATATGGTTTTGGCATTGTGGCTTATGGAGTATTACCATCGTTAATAAAAATGAATAGCCAAGGATGCACATTACTCCAAAAGTATTAAAGTATGCCTTGGAACTAATTACGCAAACGTGTTCAGGTGCAGTCGTTTGACACGATTTACCCCGTGCGTAGTAACAACAAACCTCTTCTTCATCGTCAACCTCGTGTCCACTTCCCGAGAATGTATCATGAGTTACGCTTGCACTGCGGGCATCACCGTGCACTAACTGACCTTCGTCGTCAGTATTCTCATTATCGCCTTCGTCATGACTATCATCGCTTGTCTGACGAATCTTTACAAAACCCTAACAGTGTAAGAGAAAAACTGAACCGTGAAAGTATTTGCACGTAATTTGACCCTCCTGCGGTAAAAGTAAAGCACAGCATGTGAGAATTGCGTGAAAGTATGAAACAATACTGTCACAGACATGGTACAAAACAATTGACACTGCACGAAGATGACATGCAAACATTTTTGGCCTATACGTTTTGACTATTTCGTATAGCAGTCAAAGCAATAAACCATCGATCATATAGACAATAAATAATTTATACTTTAACAATCAAACATATAATGCCAAATAGGGAATAAAAAGAAGAAAATCAATAGAAAACAAATCAAGTACCCACGGATAATGTCAATCAATTACTAATTGAACAATCAATCATTATTCTATCAATAATCATTACAAATCATCAATCTCTTAATGATTGCTAACCAATCAATAATTATAAATCAATCATCCATCAATCAATCATTACTTTATAAATCAAGGTCAAAAAGCATTGCAACATTATACGTATATATTAACAAAAGAAAAATGATGCTGTACCTAATAATTATAGTGAATGCGTGTGTATATGAACGAAAATACAAGAGGGTCAAATTGTACAGAGTAATCAATACTCGCCTTGCATTAGTTGATCAAGACACATCCATCATCTTGATAATTACATTTCAAAACAATCCGGAATGTTTTTCGTGAATTGATTCAAATCTACATACACTTTACTTAACCTTTGTACAAGTCAGTATATAGTAAGGTTCCATTTCGTTACACAAAGACAGTCACGGTCAAAGAAAGCAAGTCGACAGAAATTGCAAGAGTTTGGGGGTATACTTTCAGCAAAGACAAAAATGCTTAATACCGGCATTGAGTTTTAAAATAATTTTAACATCATTTTAACACAACTTTTTAAAAAAAGATAATACAATTTTGGCGTGTCATTGCCTGCATGCTCAATTTAAATCTACTCTTTTTAACTGAAATACACTCATTTTGGCTACTTTGAATCGTCGCTTCATTCGAAGAATGGTAACTTGAAAAGTTTAGTGGCGCGATGACATGTCAAAACTGGATTACCGTTTTCGACAATGACGTAAATTTCGAGTATGTGCATGTGTATGTGCATGTGCATGTGCTTATTGTGCGGAGAGATGGAATACAATACGATTTCACGATGTTTGGCAAATTTTTGATTAAAAGAAATTTTTAAATTAACTTGGTATAGATATATTTATCGTGATTTCAATCATGCCATTACTTTCGTTGCTTTACGTTTTTATCGTTAGATCACGCCTTAGCTACCAAGATATGTTCGTAAGGCCTGTGATTGAACGAGGACTTTTTTTCTAAAAACGTTTCTTTTTCAATGAGGGATCATGCGTGAAAATTAGGCTAGGTTTCTTACATCATTTTAGTGACACGCGTTTTTATATAGCTTATATGCGTTTTTATATAGCTTATGCAATTTCTTATAGCTTATGCGTTTTTATATAGCTTATATGCGCATGCAATTTGTGTTATCCAATAATTTAACAGGGTCCTGGTTTCTTACAAACCTACGACCGATGAGATTCCAGTAGAAATATTATTGAAATATTAATATCTCCGTTTATAAAAAAATATGAATGATTTATAAAGTTATAATGATGAATTGATAGATTATATTGATTGATTATATCAACGTACTTCATTCAACATTTAAATAACTCACATTACATGTGAACAACCACATTAAATAATTCCAATTTTTTTCTAATATTATATGTTTGACGTTAAAGCACATTGAAATTTCAGGCCATTCACTTTAGTACTGTTTATTACTCAAGTTTAAAGCCCGCAATACATTTTTTGGTATACAATTATAATTTTTTTTATATTTTATAATGAACAGCCTCAGCGAGACAATACAGGCGAACCGAATGTGCATGGGATATGTGAATAAGAAAAGTAAAGATACATTACCTGACGTCGCATTTTCTGTCGCTGGAAGAGAAGGTACAGAGGTTTGGCAAGTAACAGCCATGGAATGCAGACGGCAGCCAAAATCGCACACATCTTTTCAATAACGGGCTGAAAAAAAAATCGAAAAATTAACCCTTGTTTTATCTGCTTCAGAATATATGATTGATCGTTTTTTTTTCGTATTTCGTATTTACCGACTAGTTTTGAAATTATGTATCGAGAGTTACTATACGTATGATCGACATAATAATAATAATATATACAGAACTGGAACTAGTAAACTGTAAATAATAGATACAGAACTGTAGTGCGCATGCTTAGCAAGTGCCTAAGAAAGGCACAGAATAGGTGCGTAAAATGCTATATAAATTATGACGACATTGTAAAGCTTCAATTAATCGAAAATGTTTGAGCAGGCGTTTACCAAAAAACCCAAGCCATTTCGAACATTTCAGGCACTTGTCGAGCACGCGCAGTTGGTCACTTTTCGCTCAAGCGCACTAAAAAAGCGGGTAGAAAAACGCCATATTTAATTATATGCCACTTAATTTTCAGCTCTGTATCTATTATTTACTCCGTGACAGCATCGACACATCGACACATTTGTTTATCGGCCGTTATTGGTTTATCGGACCATAGTCATAGACAATCCAAAACACCATATATATCTTTTGGATTGTCTATGATCCGACTTTTAAGCTTTCTGGATTTTCTGTACTACTTCACATCCACCTGAGGCCGGTTGTTCAAACAAAGGAATGAAATTATTCTAGTATAGCCATTCTGTCAATGCTCAAAGAACTATAACCACATATAGCTATATGAAATTTAAATATTAAAAACTATATTTTAACCACAAAATTGCAAAGTTCGAGGCTAAATCTTGTTTCAGACGTCGAACTATTAATACATATGCATTCGATTCGGCACATGAAATGTTCGACGTCTCAAACGGGCGTTTCCACTCATTCTGACCACTATCTGCGAATGAATTGTTTTATTGAATATAACATAAATGGTGACTACATTAATAATTATTTGTGGAACAAATTGGACAAATTTTAGCAACATACAGCTACCCAATTAATCATTTCCAACATTACCTGTGCGTCAAACAATTTATCTTCTTTAGCAGTAGGGCTGGTGATTTTCAGAAACATGTTGATGAGCACAATCAATAGACTGGGCGCCTATACATATCATTAGAAACACACAGGTCAACAAGGTAATTGTTATTTGCAATGTCATTTCGCATATATAAGTATGTTGTTTAACCATTAGCTGTGATAAAAAATTCATTTTACAAGCACAGATTGTATCAGAATAGTGAAAATTGTTGCATGAAAAAGATCGAACATTGCACTTGATTGAAGCTGAGCGATTCCAACAGACCACGGCTACTTTAAAATCTATATATGGGAATCTATATTTGCTTGCTTCGAATGGGCTACGGGGGATAAAAAATACAGAAAAAAAGTTATTTCCATTGAGACTTACATGCTCAGAACTTGAATTGAAAAATATCCACTTGTAGAAAATCAAAAATATCAAATACCCAAAAATACTGAGCAGGAAGAGCACCTAAAAAAAGGTATACACGAAAAATGCAACTAGCGTAAAATGGACTTCTAACCCGAGTTATACAAAGCTTTGTTGTTTCATGAAAATATATATAACTGAAAACAAGAACTGGAGGAAACCGACATAATGAACATGCAGAAGATGCAAAAACTTTAGAAAAATGCAAAAATATGAGGAAAAAACTTCACAGCAACTGTATATATAAAAAAACTTGAAACGCGATGAAGGTAAATACAATATTATAAACTCAAAAAAATATCCTGAAACAGTATGCATATGTAGCTACTAAAATTAATAAAACGGCCAAGTTTGGTTGCCAAGTGTAGCAAGGTAGTCGTCCATACAACTAGCCCAATTAGGTAACTTACCTGAGGTATAAACATGGTGTAAATATTGATCCGTTGCTTGAAATGCCTGAAATTAATAAAACAAATTGGAACAGAATGTCTGAAGCTAACAAAAGCATATCACTGCATGCCTATATATAGTCTGGCAAGTGATGTCAGTATAAAATGGGCAAATTGATCGAGAAATGTATACAGATTTATAGTATACTGTAGATGCTGCATTAATGAGGGGTAAAAGGTAGCTATTTCTGGTCATGAACATGAACATGAAAAAGCTGATGTTATTACATGTAGTTGGCACAACTCAAACATATTCCAAACAGCATGTGACTGACACCCAGGATGACAGACATCTTCATCTTCATAGAATTTGTGAAACTGATCTTGTTCTCAGCCAATTGCCATATCTACACAAAAATATGTGACGAAGTCATGAATCGTGCGATATTTCTCAAGTATATATAAAAATTCATTACAACTGAAAGTCAGCGCCTGCAAAATTTGCTAGTCCAGCTAAGAACCAAACCCCCATTCCCAGAAATCAGAGTAACCTACGGTCATGCACACTTTCATTTTCGGGGTGTTGGACGATTTTAGCAGCGTATGTTTTAGCAGTATACAATACCTCTACTATTAGAGTATTGCCTATATATAGAGTGATAAAAATGGATTACGAATGAAATTGTCCACTAAAAAAGAGGTATATCACAAATATATATATTTCGACCACTTGATCGATAAAAAATACTGAAAATTCCGCATTGCCTAATCCGGATCCAACATAAAATATATAGCTACTGTACCACAAACTATTCACGTCACCCCTGCCCGTCTTATCCCGGTCCAAAAGACATCGAAAAATAATAGTGAAAAGTTCTAATTATTCTAACCAGGACATACCGGATCAATTCCAAAGTAGTAAGGTATGCCACGATAGTAGGGGTAGCCAGCTGGTACTAACATACTACTACCTCCTTCTGGGACATCAACTGGAAAACTGAAAAAAAAACACATCGAATGTTATTTTTGTAGTATGGTATAGCATACTGCCTGCCTGCCTGACGCTCACCAAACCAGCCGTAAAACATATAAAGGACGTGAAATTACTGCTGTGACATTTCAAACGCACCTGTGATTGCCTATATGCCAAGCACTACCAAATATGTTGAAGGATTTCGAGAAGCAATCGTTGTAAATTAGGCCAGTATATACGGCAAACGCACCCATCAATAATAGAATATAGCGACCAGAGAATACAGTCTCAAATATCTAGAAAATATTCGAGCATATCATTGCATTTACATGCATGCAACATACTGTGACAGGTCTCTAATGCACGTGACAAGAAGTTTGCATTTCTACTTTATTTGTTAAAGAGAAAGTGCACACATTCTGCGAAAACATTGCCAATGCCTATGGCAAGCAATTTTCGGCGTTCATCTTGAAAAGTCTTCCGAACTAACCGGGTGAGCTCGGAGCGGCATCTGAGCTCGAAAAAGGCTAACCTGCTCGGAACCAATAAAAAAGCCGCTTTTACACCAGGCATCAGATGAGCCTGGGTAACGGGCTAACAGCTGCTGGTCTAAGACATCAATGCGCATGCATATAGCTACGGATATTAAACACATTACCTCTCCACCGGGTTTAGTTATGGCGAGTTTCTTCTCGTTTCGCACCATCCAATACGCAAAAACGAACATAATGAAGCCGTGTCCACAGTCCCCGAACATGACCGCAAATAGAAACGGAAATGTTATAATGGTAAAAAGCGCTGAAACATAACAAAGTACAAGTAATTGGTCATTGTTTGAAATGAAGGATGCAAACAAACACATTTTCTACACTTGCTAAAGTAAAACATATATAACCGCTAAAAATACCTGGTCACGGTTTGAAATGCAGAAATCAAACAAGCATGTCCTCTATAGTAACTTGCTAAGCTAAAACATATAACCGCTTAAATATGAATATATACCTGGATTGACCTCTTGGTAGGTTGCGACACCATAAGCGTCGACTAGATTTTGATAGCCCTCGGTGAATTTGTTGTTGCGATTGAATGTCGGTGGATCCTCTTTTGTTTTCATCCGGTTGAGAATCGATGGCACTGAAGCACCACTTTCATCCTACAGTATAACCAGCGACACTTAGGCAATGCCGTATTAATATAGGGAGCTTTAATAATATTTAAGACAGCGACGCCACTACAACGGCTTTAAAAGTGCCTTTAAATTTATGTTTGAAAAGCAAACTTCCCGTCCCATATCAATTCTATGAATTAACTTTCATGAAAGTTAAAGACATCGCTTGGAGAGTGGGGTTCCGGGACCGTACTGGTAGTTTCACGTTCCCAGGCTTTAAATATAGTGGCGATCTGATTTGTCGAGTTAAACAACGGAGGCACCTTCTGAAATTTCCAAGAAACTTTAAACATTCGATTTACGATTCACTTTAGATAAATTACTTTACTCTAGATAAATATTTCGGGAGAAATTTTCCAACAAGCTTTCTCAAGTTTCCAACATGCAATCATGCACTTAAAAAAACTTGGTTAAACTGATACATAAACTATAAATCGCCGTAGATATTTGTCACAATGAGAGAAAATATTCGGAAGGCGGCGGGGGTGTGGGGGTAGAGACCTCTCCATTTGCCGTGGCCTATACCCTAGAGTCCGCTACTGCATTAGAATGTACCAACTACAGGTAACAAAGCAGTAGTTCCAAAATCCCAAACTACACGCACCGTTCCTCGTTTCAGAGCATCTTGTATTTGATCGAGATCAGAAACTGGGCACCAACATTCAGCAATAAGACATTTGTGTGTCACGTCCAGATTGAACATATTCATCGTGTGGTAGATGGCCTTGATTTTTCTCACCTGTGTTAACATATGAAGAAAAGTTTGTAAACGAAACAGCATGCACTCCATTCAATTAAGGGCCTGATTTCACACGCGCTTTTTCTCGGCGAAATATTTCGTCTGCCTCCATTGAATTGCGACCATTTCGCATTTCGCTTGAAAATTTCTCATGCATTTGTTATGTCCACAGTAAAATTTACCTTAATGAACCAATTATTGATACTTTTGGCAACAGTGGACAACAATCTTCGACGATGTTCTTCGGTTTCATTCAAGACCTAAAAGTAAAGCAGAAGATGACCTTTATAGTTTTCAAGCCAGGTGCATTTTTTATTAATTTCAGCCACCTTTGACAACAGAAAAAGGTAAGAAGAGTATCTATACTGTAGTTTCCTTTCATGAAATAGTATATCTTATATGTAATTGTAAATAATAAAAGGCGGTAAAAAATGACAAATACGAATTTAGATACTGTCGAATTGCTTTTGGCGCGCGATCAAACTTTTAACGGGTTAATTGAAAGTCGTTAACTTCAGTGCATCACAAATATTTCGTTAAGAATCTCGCTGAGCTGAGATATTTCGATGAAAATAGTTTTATTTTTGACGGAAGTACATATTTAATGCATATGTAGGTTCAGTCCGTCGCAAGATGCATGAGAGTATTTTTAAAACTTGACTTAATATATCAACCGTTTACGCTAAACGCCTTTCGAACAATCGTCCGTTGGTTAATAACTCAGTTTAACGATTTATAGGATATACAGTAAAGTAAATGAAGTTCAAGACAAAAGCGGGTTCCATCTTTCAGGTTTATAGCTACTACATATATGCGTAAAATTTATCTTTTCGCTCAGTCTCAGCACAGATGACAAATATAAAAGTTTTCACAGGTAGCTATATAAGACTAAGATTTAAATGAATACTTAAAACCAAAATGTTATATTATCGTGAAATCGAAGTACTCAAGTACATTTAACGAAAAACGTTATTAGACACACTACATAGCTGCGAGTAGTCCTATATTTGCATGAGTAAAGACTAGAGTTCAGAAACGGTAACATTTATTGAGCATCGCGTGAAGACTACTGGTTTCTGAAGTTGATTGGAAAATATCATGCACAACCAGCAGGCAACCTAGATGCAAATCGATTCGATTTCTACGGTTTGACAATTTTGCAAGTTTTTTTCGAGCGAATCAAATTTCATCGAATATAATTTCTTCCCGTTGACGTCATTATGAAGAAAGTATATAGAACGTTATCACGAGTAAAGACACGCCTATATACATTGTGCCAGGTCTTCTTACCGTCTGAAGATCTTCGATCCTAGTCATCACCCCAAGTGCCATCTCTCTTCGTTCTTGAGTAGTATCGGGGCATGGGTACATAGTAGCGCGAAACCTGTAGTAAGAGTTACGCAAGTTTTAGACCTACATAGACCATAGATATCCAAAAGTAATTGTGTATAATAAGATTATGATATAATAGATTAGAGGGGAAAATCATACCCATCGCAAATCTTTTTCACTCTCGACTTAAGTTGCTCTCCTTGAAAGAAAACGATGAAGACACATTTATGGATAACGAAACCAGAAACAGGATCTTCTAAAGGCGTGTCGATCTCGGCTTGCTTGAAGAATACGTTGCCACGACAAGCCCTCCATAAGAGGCGTTCAAATGCAGGAACCCGTTCCCGATCGATCACTCCTGTCACAAACCTGCAATAGAATAATCCAACTGATGTTATTATATTTTACAGACAATACGTGAATGCATGTGTATACAATACGAACAATCAATGTGTAAGACATAAAATTATTCCTGCTGCTTTTATAATATATCAAGCAAAAGAGAAAGGTGAGTTAGGTCCCACCTGCTCTAAATTTTAAGAGTACAATCTAATTTTACTTCAGAGAAAAGTACCAAACACACGAATACAACGCAACTAAATAAGTCTTTAGGAGACAACCTTATTTTTGTAAAAGAAAGTGTACGCAAAAAGAATGGAAATGCTGTATTATGAATCTGGCGAAAAATTTTCCAGAGACTAGTTTTTCGTTTTTGCGTGAAACAGCAATGTTACGTGCGTGACCACAGAATTGCCCTTCTACATCAAATGAGGATTTTTCACGTCTTTTGAACAACTTGCCTCTGTAATAATGTGATCATACATATGCAGTATACCCTAACTATAAAAAAAAAAAATAACGAACAAACCCAAGTTGCGAGCCAGCTTGTTCTTGTTGTTCATCCAGCAATGTTGCCAGGTCATCGGTTCTTCCTTCATGCTGTGGTTCATATATACGAAGTTCAGTATTGTATATATTTTATATACGTATAAGTTCTGTATTGCCACGATACATACATGGCAACATGCACACACAACAACCAATCACGTTTTATAATAATTTGTAATCATTCGTTCATTAAAAATGGCAATAGGACGAATAAGAGGGCAATGATTGCCAAAATCATAGTCACAAAATCAACTGACCACGTAGTGGTGGAAGGTTTATTTGCTAATCCTGACAACGATTTTGGCATCAATTGAACGACTTATTTTGTTCTGTATTACTTATTAATTATAAATCTTCTGTAATCTAAAGATACTATTTATTGAACTCGAATAAGTGAGGTAGTACAATTTTCAATTAATTAAATTTACCACAATTAAACTTCTGAAATTCATATGTATATGAGCAAGAGTGCAATTACATTTCGCAAAGGGTTCAATTAAATGCTCAAATTGCACACCTCAACTTAGCCAATGAAATTGCAGTATATTAATTGCAGTATATTGATTGCAGAAGATATATAATTAATACACTAGTTTATAAAATCATACAGGGCCAACAAAGCATCAAATGACTTTTTAGGTACATATACATGTAGGTGTAATCACACACCAGAGTGAAACTGGGGAAAAGAAGACAGTTCTTTTAGCCAAACCTGTGGCCAAATTTTGAGAATCAGAGAATATCAGACTAAATCATAGAATATTAAACAATTCAAAACGGTTGAACTTAGCTGCATACAGTCAAAAGAGTCCATTTGTTAGTAATCACTATCAATACATAATTTATTATTTTTACCCATTAGTGGTTCTATGTTGTTTTCCCATGTGTATTAAATTATGTATAGTGCTGTAAAGTGATTTTCTTTGATTTCCCCACAAGTATCAAATGACACCTTCCAAACATTGCATTTGTTATGACACATTAAACTCATATCCAATTTCATTCTAAGATTACAGTAAACCTCAATCAAATATAAATGACTGTATTCTAGACATGTATGTGAAATAAGCTAAAAAACCTATCACGACTATCTACATAACTTATATAGATCGCTTTCACATTAAGTAATCTTTTGAATAATAATAACACTAGTGTATTATTTATTGTACATGTACCACTTACTGTATAGTACCTGTGGGAGCACTGCAGGTTAATGGATTGACTAGTAACCGGCGAAAAGGTAATTATGTGCACTACATGTATAATTTTTGCATCGCCTGGCACTACAATAGCAAAGCCTGATCTAATGATTTTCCTGCCAGTCAAAGGTATGCCAGCTCATTAATTCACTCTCGCGTTTAGTCTACAGCCTACCTCTTCAAAAAATACTTGCGTCTTTCGCAAGATATGCTTCAACTCAGTCAGCTCCAACAACCCCTTTTTCATTGCCTCAAAATTCCCATTGCTGTCCTTCATTTCATTTTCTAGCTGTTCAAATTGTGCCTATGTAGGATAAAAATAATTAATTTTGGTTAATCAAAAGCATCTTGTGTAAATAGGTCTCACTTGATGGTGAAGGAATCCAGAAATATTACAAGGCTTGTCAACTAATAAGACTGCATACATTTGCACAAAGCACAGAATCATTATTTTACATTTACAAGTGTATTGTGGTCAAAATCCTAAACACTTAATTTCTGATGATATCAGGTGCAGTAACAATTTTTCATATGGGGGAAACTCACTAGAAAGGTAATGGTAGTGTAGAATTGGGCTGAAAACAATTAATGTTGTCACATGACAATAGGGCCATTTATACGAGTGAAAATAAGCCGCGGCCTAAATAAGCCGCGGCTTAAATAAGTCGCGAAGAACTCGTATAAACGGTTTATTTACAATTAGCCGCGGCTTATTTAAGCCTAGGCTTCAACCCTGGGCTTATTTTAGCCGCGGCTTGCGAACAAAATGACCGTTTATACGAGCCCTTCACGACTTATTTAAGCCGCGGCTTATTTTCACTCGTATAAATAGCCCTAATATAAGTAGGAAATAAAATATGTGAAAATTAGGTTATAATATACCTCAAGATCAATCATTTCTCTAGGATGGGGGGCAGGTGGGCTTTCATGGAAGTTTCCTATGTGAATATCAGCTCTTACAATCTCTTTTTGAAGAAATCCTGTGAATGAAATAAATAGCAAGTTCAGTATCATTTACAATCAATAATGCTACTGGGAATTTTACCTTGGTTTTTTTTTAAAATTTTTCATCCTAAGTGTGTTTTGGCGTGAAATACACTAGTATTTGAAATGTGTATATATGACCTTATTGATCTATGTCACAGTTTTGTCTCCCAAGAGTTGTGGTGCACAGCTTTGGCTAATTTCCCGATGCGCAATTCATTTTCGCTCGCATGTTATGGCAATTCCTCCAAGAGGAACAAATAAACTGTTCTTTTGATGCTTTTCGATTAAGTTTAGATTTAATTGGGGTAAGAATATACCTAATACATGTAGATTCTGGTCCTATTTTAATAATATTGCTGCTATTTCGCCGTTTAACAAGATGTGGTCATGTATGGGCACATTGACAGGTCACAGTTTGCACAGGATTGAAGATTTAATACAACTATATAAGTGCGAATTGTAAGTGCAAAGTGTAAGAGTGTAAGGTGTAAAGGCAAAGTGTAAGACAAAGTGAACGTATCATGCGGTTTTACTTTATTTTCATTTTTGAACAATTGAACCTCTATACTTTAAAATTAAAGCACAATGTGCTTCTGAATTTCGCGATCGAATAACATTTAGCTTGCCAAGGCATCTAAATGAGTATAAACTGTATTGTTTATGTTCGGAAGCTTTATATTGAAGACTGGCATGTGCATAGCATGCCAAAGTTAACGCCAGAACAGGTGTCTTGTTGCATTTAAATTGGCTTACTCAATTTGCGTTCCATTTCATCACATCTTCTCACTTCATTCACAAACTTTCTTTGGAAGGCATTCACATCAGGATTTAACTAAAAATGTCATTGAAGGGTTCACCACTTTAATATAAAGCACCAATTGAAAAGTGACTGACACAAATATTTATGTCTCAATCTAATGGACCACACTTACATTAGTTACATGATAGACCAACGTTTTATTCCGGTAAAAAAAGGAAAATTTTGGAAAAGAACATACTTAACTTAGTAAAATTGCCAAGTTTGGCTGCTGAATAATGTAAAATCAAAGATATAGCCAAGCAAAGTTATCAAATGTTATATACCTTTGTATTATATGGCTGGAAGAGTGAAGTTAAATTAATAACACTTCGGCCCAAAGTATACAAACAATGCCTACTTTGTATAGCTATATTTTCCATACTACTTAACATTTTGCAGCCAAACTTGGCAATTAAATACTAATTTCAGTTTGCACTTTTTATCTGTGCTAATTTTTCCCTTCTTGTTACCTAGATCACAAGTTGGCTATTATCCAAGTGGTCCATTGTATGTACCTCAGTCTTATTTAAGTTAGATGAGACTGCTACCATGATTATATAAGTTCTTTTTTATTCTTTTAAAGACATGTATTAGGCCCAGTTTACACTGTCAAAGTTTCTATGATCACTGTAAAATTACAATTGGTAAAATTGGTAAATCCAAATTAAGTTTGAAAGAATTTGCAATTAAATATATAACAAATTGTAATCAGTGTTACATTTGCCTGACATGTTTTTAGCAAATCCTTTTTAAAACTTGGGATTTGCAGCCTGAAAATTCCAACTATGATCACAGAAATTTTGACAGTGTATGACTTTATTCACTCCTCTAGGACGACATATAAAACAGAATGTGCAGTATTAAATGAGAAATACTTACGTCTTTGAATTGGACTAAACCCTAGACATGGAAAACGAAAGATATTACATTAAATATGAACATATAATCAACACAAACATGGCGGGTAGGTGAAACAAAATTACAAATCTTACCAACTCTCCCAGGGCACTCACACAGGCATATGCTGCCTCGGATTGCAGAAATAACTGAGCTAATGTCATTTCTTCGGATCGAAATAGGGAGATATCTTTTCCCTTGTTTTCAACCGCCATCTTTAAAGCAAATTTTCTCTTATAAATCTCTTTCCTTTCCAAAAGTCCTTGTTCGTCCGTGTCAATCTGTCACGTGAACGCTTGTGAACGCTTTGAGTGCAATGCGTGAACGGCGGGCGGATCAGTGATCGAGCGGAACAGGAACTACAATTACGGATAGGCGAACACCTGGCGACACGTAAGCCAGGTAACTTTTATACATTACACTGATTACAGTGACTGCACGAGCGGGAAACTTGTGTCCAGACTCCAGAAACAAATGCTAATGTAGTTTAAAATACCCGTGCATCGGTGCATGAAATATCTTAGACTGTTCCAATCACAAATCTTTACACAACATGTGTGTACATGGTTGGCTAGGATGTAAAAGTATATTATTTCAGAAGCTGGTTGGCTAGGAAGTAAAAGTATATTATTTTAGAAGCAAGGATTGTCTATTAAGTATCAAACAGGATAATAGTCAAAATTAATCTTCATTAATCCTAGCACACTGTCCCCACACGTGTAACTTGGTTGGAATAATTGCTTTCGGTATTTTCAAAAGGATATTATCATATATTATTTAAGACATTTGCAATATTATTTCCTGATAAAATATGTGCAAAAACAGCATCTTCCCTAGCACTTGACAGATAAGGAAAATGCCCTGTTCATACAGATAAGATTTTCTAAGGAATTAATGAAGCGCACCTCACATTTTATTCCTTCAGTTTGATCCAGCACAACATGGCCTTGATGCATTGGATGGTATCCTTGCAAATGTGCAACTTGTAATCATGAATGTCAATTTGTTCTCAATCAGTTTTATACTGTATGAAAGGCACTTAAGGTCCTTTAATACCTATTAAATACATAGCTTTAACACAATATAGAAGAGCAAACTCAAGATACAAGTTTGTATTCAAATTTTGATTATAACTTTGACAATTAATTGATTTATTTGGTTCTAGTACTAGACAAATTAATTCTGCAAATACCAAAATATCTTGGTTTAATTATAACTGTGCAAATTTTCCATTACAATTTATATATTTTATATACTGCTGAGATGTTTCAGCCCAGCTTCTATCACAAACTTTACTACAGTGCCCACAGTATTCAGAACTTTTGTTCTGTGTACAACTCTGTCTACAAACTCAGTACAAAGTAGAAATATTGTTGTATGTACAACTTTAGGTATTTACATTCATTCAATTTGTTTGTCTAATTTCGAAATTTCAGTAAAACACTGAATTCGGTTAACTTTACAAACTTTACTTTTGGTATTTTCAATAAATATTACTATGCTTTAGATATTTGCAGCAGCATTTTCTATAATTACAAATAACTTTAACTGTGGCCTTTTATGTATAAATTGGGAAGTGGACAATGGTTGATGGAAGGCTAAAAAAATTACAAAAATGCCAATACCAAAAAATTCACAGACATGCAGGACTGAAAAATATTACATATAAAGCAATCATCTTGAACATAGCCATAGGGTGGTGATAAATGTTTGTCATCCTACAGTGCCCATGCCCCACAGTATTTAGAACTTTTGTTATGGGTATAACTCTGTCTACAGAGTAGAAATATTGTTGTATGTACAACTTTAGGTATTTACATTCATTCAATTTGTTTGTCTAATTTGCAAATTCCAGTAAAACACTGAATTCTTTTACAGTCAAGGTATGTCCACCTCCCCCACCAGCATTTCTTTCAAAACTGTAGAAGTCCCCCGGTTCTGAAAGCTTAATCACAGGGTGGTCAACAATTTTACAAGTGTCAGATTTCATCTTGTGTTCTGCTATACCAAACATATTATTGTTTTCAGCGATGACCTTATTCTGTCCTGAATCACGTCGCATGAGTTTGACCATCAACCGGCCCTTTCTGTTGCCCCAGCCCTGATCCTTCCACTGAACAGATGCTCGCATACCCTTCACTTTCTTCTCAAGAACTGGTCCGTCGAAGTATTTTTCAGGTGCCCAGTGCCCACCACTCGGACCTTTTATCTTAAAGGGTTTCCCTGAAAAACGCACGAACCGAGGGAGAATCTGGTTCAAGCGTTTGCATGTTCTTGATAAACGAACACATTCCTCAGGCGAAAGGTATTTAACAATTTCCAGCAGTACAAGTTCAGGAAGATTATCCATCTTTCACTTTTGATGATCACTGCCAAGCGGCTCAAGCCTCAAAATATTACAAGTATTTATAGTGATTAGGTCATTTGGTAATTACGTCATCAAAGCGGATACTTTGACTTTGAGCTCAGCTTCTTGGCATGCCGTTCTTGCACCACAAGTTGCAATACTATTCAATTGAAATTGGATTTGATAATCCTGAGTAGCAAAATCATTAACCGGGAAAATTAATGATCTTTTACGCGTGTGTGATAAACAGACATATGCACAGCAGCCTAACAAATAATGTTCATTCGCTCGCAGGGTCTCCAATGGATGGCAGGCTATGAACCTCAGCAGTCAGCACCTCTTATTTGTTAGCCCCTTTACACGGTTCTGGATTGCTACAGGGACAGATCTATGTTGCTTAGCCCTCTCACAGCAGAACTTGATCAGTAAACTCTGATAGGAATTAGAAAGCCTGATGAGTCATGTCCAGACGAAAGCTCGTCTCAATCAGAGTGAAATTTGAGTGAAACTCCAAGATATAATAAAACTGTTTTCATAATTTATTATTGATTAATATTCAATAATCAGCCACTAGCGTGCTTAAAATCTCTAGTTGAAGTATTAAATATGCGTAATGTGGCCAAAAATTGGCACAAGTCTATGAATAACAACAGACAATAACATGTTTTGACGTCATGCATCACGCCACTTCTGAGTTTACATCAGTTTACATTGGTTTGCATTATAAAAAAAGCATAGGTCACGAATTCGCCGCTGAAAAGGTCAATATTTACGCAAAATATTGTCACCAAAATAATCTGCCATATGTGATTCATCTCTGATCCCAAGGCACCCTGCTTTTCATTTAAACACTCTTTAGATAGTTCTCCGCGGTGCATGAAACATTTTCTCAAATTCTTGGATATATTTTTCACGTGAAACGCACGACCTGGTGGGTGTGATATTTCACGTGAACAATATTGCGACAAATATATAGAATCGAATGTCAACATGATATCAGTTCTTCTTCAGTCAGCGTCTAGCAATGGTTTTGCTGTATTGTTTGAATAAATACTGCACGTATCGGATTTCAAAAGTGCAAGCGGATCTTCTTCTTGTAAATTTGCCACTGATACTGGACTAATTGTATGAGCGTGCATCATCTTTTGACACACGGGATTGCAAGTCAAAATATGCAGGTAGGTAGTGCAATGTAAGCTTATAATTCTTTCAGGGGGCGAGAAAATTCAAGCAGAAATATACGCACCGTCTTGCTGTGCCTCGCGCCTCCGTAGCGTCTGGCTTTATAAAATGATCCACACGCCACACAGGCCTATAAATCAGCGAACTACACAGCCACACAGGGTGACAGGGAAAAGCATAATGTTTGTAATTCCAGTCTTTATTATGCATACAGGTAGCACCTTTTCATCTTGGAATTCATTTTCTAAGCATATTTAAACATAAACATTGAGGTTCTTGTATTCTGCACATTCTGAAGGAATGCCAAAATTTATTGTTTCACCAAAATGTAGCAATTGTTGTGAATTATCGCGACCATTGCACTTCGATGCTTGCGGATAATTAGGAATCGTTTGGATTTCCCTTGTTGGGTTTTTCCCCTAAAATATTTTTGATGACAAAATTGCATATGAAAGGTATTAATAGACAGGGCCATATTGCACTTTTGATTGAAGTGACTCTATAGCAAATTGCAGTAAACTAAATTGAAATTCAACTATGAAGTCACTATGTAGTTATTTGTTGGTAATATGCCAATGACCAAGTTCAAACCATTGTATTTAAATATGAAATTCTCGATCATTTAAATATATATGGTATATACATTCATATATATGATATAAACAAGGCATCTTATCGGTTGCATGGTGGGTGACAAGGTTCTCCAAGAAGATTTTCAGCTCATCTGTGACTTTGCAGATGTTTTTGGATAAAGTTTCAGTGGCAAATATTAGTTGGGTGTGGGGGTGTCTCCCTTCTCCCTGCAGTGGAAGATTCAGGGTAAAGGAGAACAGCTTTAGTTTGCAGCAATCACATATTGGTAGATTTAAATTAAAAATATTCTTCAGAAATTTGTAACTCTTGATTTTGTTGTAATATTCCAAATATTATTTATACCATTTATCAAATCATTCAAATGAGACTTAATTAATAGAAAAAATTGGAATATAAAAAGTTGTGCATAGATATAAACTATGTAAAGACCATTTTCATTTATCTACAGACATGAAATTTAAAAAAAATTCTGACTTTGTGCCAGCCATTTTTCAACCTAAGCATTGTGATTTTTAACAAATGCTACTGCAAGAAAAATTGGTCTAGAAAATGATCTTCTCAGCTGATGAAACTTCTCAACTGATTCAAAATCAAATAAAATCTGTCACAAAATGGGATACATTCCCTAACTTCAAATGAATTTTTGCCAGTAATACTGGAGTTAGAATAGTGGTAAGTCATTTTACCTGAGGGTACTCAAAGTATATACTGCCAAACAACTGAGAAATAAAGTGTTCTCAGATGACAATGTTGATTTCCACATTCACCTGACCATAATAACCTTGTTATATTAATCGACTTTTTGATTGTAAAAATATGTATAAAATATATTGTTGTCAATACCTTTATTATACCGAGGTTATCCTTTTTGTGCAAATGTTGATTGAATATATTCAACATTTACTTTGCTATATACACGTTCTGTCTGTTAATTTGAAGAAGCTAGAAAGGTCATGATAGGATAGTTAAGATGGCGGACATCTGTTTTGTTTCTCTCCACCTTGTGCCCCCTTTGCTTTAAGTTGATTTTTGCCCCCACCCTCGTCTTAAAAAAAATGAAGACAAAAAAATGGAAGGAACTTACTTACTGTAGTTCAGAAAAAGAGATATGATATCATCACAACATTTTTGATGGGATGTATCTGGATTTGCACAAAACGATATTGGAAGGAAAGCTCCAAAGACTCAAGAGTGCCAAATGTCTTGGAGTAGGACCCAATCACCCAATATACTTCATTGGGTCCGACCGGAAGTGCAGAAGTCAGAAATCATTAGTAAACTACAAATTACTAAACTGTGAACATTTATTACATTTACAAAATTGTTCAGAGATTACTCTCTCTTATTGGTGAATAAAATACGATGAGTTCCCCTGATAAACATACAAACGATCAAAAACATTGCAAAATAATTTTAAAAAAATGAAAACTATCACTTGTTTCTTGCTTGACCTTATCCTTGACTTTGACAGCCGAATATTGTTGTGAGCCCTATCAACCTTGACCGCGGTCTCGTTGAAGAACATGCATAATGATATTTCATAATAAATAAACACGTATATCCGTATACGTATAAAGCCGTACAACGAATACAAAATATCGCCTTGTTCTTCACCAGTATAACAAAACAGGATGTTTTGGCTTCCAGTTTCGTATGCTTTAATGAAAGACACAACTTTTATCATCGCTATCGAGAATAATGTATTAAACTTGTAAGGTTAAATAAAAAATGTACTTGATGTAAAACATATGTAAAATGATCATAGACTCATAGTGGGAAGAAAATACTCCCGGGACGCCATGACAGGGGGCAAGGGGGTAGCGCTCTCTTGACCTTGCCTTTTACAAGCAGTGCATGGCAAGGAGGGCATAGAATAGATGCCCTTTCATTTTAATTAAAGAAAGTGCAATCAACAAGTTTCAAACATAGTACAATCATTTAGACCATTTAGTAAAAAACTAGACACGGAAATTATCTTTGAAGTAAAAAAGGAACATGAAACACGATGAAACGAAGTTCAAAAAACGACGCCAACCTTCTCTTTCATGCGCCTTCATTGCCCTCACAGCGTCCCTAGGCTTCTCACGATACAAGTAAGAACCCCAGTAAACATTCCCCGTTTGAATTAAATGAACATGCATTTTATGATTCTAACTAAGCTGTTGTTTTTAGGAGAACGGCATATCGGCCAATAACACTACTAACAAGTGTTTGGATGTATGCCATGCAGGTGTGATTAGTGCGTCATCATCCGTATTGTCTCTTCCAAATGAAATATTATGCCGCATTTGCCATGGACATGAAAAAACGGAAGAGTTATTTTCATACTGTAACTGCAAAGGTTCGGTTGGTTTATCGCACAAATCGTGTTTGCTTCACTGGATAAAGATGTCTGGATCGGTAACCTGCGAATTATGTAAGCAGAGATACGTCACAATTGGTCGAGTAAACAGACGATTTTGGCAGGTGTGGTATAATTTTGCCATTTAATAATTCGCTGCAGTAGAGCCGCGTGATTATATCATTTATGCGTCATTCTCCAAAGGCAAAGAATTTTTTTCTGTAGTATTGCCTTTGTGCATGCTAAGTTGTATTATATTGCCTATTCGGCTTCGACGGCTTGTTTTACAATCCACGCAACATTGAAGCGTTCCGAAACTGACAGACATAAAGCCGTTCATCAACATCGGCTCTCATTTATATCAGTTTATCAGACATGCAGTTTAGAGAATTATTTTAAGGTAAATTGTTTGACCTTAAAATAAATTAGTAACAATGGAGACGTCTTTACAGGTATCAATGGATTGTATTTCAAGAAGCAGTTTTATAGAGAGTTTACAGAGTTTATCAAACAGTTTAGAGAAAAGAAGCCAAAGCGGGATTTCCTAAGCAATTCCCAGTGATCAAAGATTAAAAGAGAAAATTTTAGGATCTTGAAGAAGTTTCCAACGAATTTCTTGAAGCTTATTTTTCTGCAATAAACACTGAGAGTAAAACATCGACTACCGCATGAAAGTGAAATGAAATACTGCTGGCGATGCCCTTCGCAAATATTTCGATGTTTTATGATTTTGATACTTTGGTAATTCCAAAGCTGCAAAAATTGCAAAAAAAGAAATCTATACTATAGCCATTGACCCAGGATCAGATGCAGAGTGTTGTTCAGTTGCAGTCGTTAGGAAAGTTTTTTTGCGGCACGTTTTGCGAAAGTAGAAAAAACGTAAACGAGTACAATTTGTGCATTTCCTTATAAACTGTGAGATTAAACTCAGTCTCAAATTATATATGTGTATAAATGTCACCGCTCAGTGTCATATGGTATGCCAACAATATATATTATTTGTTTGTTTTATATTTACAGTGGAAGTTGCCGCGTATTGGAACAAAAGGCTGGTTTAAGCTTGTATTTTTTGCTGGATTTCTTTCCATGTTGGTGGCATTTACCACGTGGATAATCTGGTCACGAACAAGCTCTTCGTTGGCAGCCAAACGAGAGCGAAACAAAAAACAAGTTGAATACAGCTACTTTGTTTACGGCATGCTCGTGCTTATTGCAATTATTGGCATGTACGCTTTAAATGGTCGACCTTTTTTGCGGTTCTTGGGCAAATGTTTGGTCATCAACCAAAGTATAATAGTGATACCGAATGGAGAACTTTGCGACGAGAAAGCTTCGGACACAATAACAATATCAATGGACGAACTTGACAAAGTAAAAACGGTCCATTCGAGAACAAATTGTTCGAGTAAGCATGAAGTACCGTCGTTAAAAGAGACGTACGTTCAAGTCCACATGGTTGACCCCATGAAATACGGTGTACGGGGATATGCGAAGCTTGCACCTGGAGACGACCCGGTCATGGTATAACATAACTTACAGTAACCACCCAGCTGAAAGTAGATGTGGATTATGTTACCTACAAGCACTGTATTCTGTAAAACAGTACCACTGATTTAAAATTGGTTTCCTCAGATTTATTCATTGGACCAATTTTTTATTGATTCTTTGGTTGTTTTTACCAAAGACAATCGATTAAAAGGAGATGAATCTGAGACAACCAATTTCAAATTAGTTGTTATATAAAAATCTCAGTTTTCACTGAAAGCTTGCATTACAGCTCTAATTTGCACTCGATTTTGTCACTTTGACTCAACAATATTATTCGGTCTATTGCGTTGTTATTATGGTAGTTTGAATTTCGAATTAAGCTGTTGAATTATTCTGTCTTTTATCCCCTGGAACCACCATGCACAGGAAACGTTACGTTGCACGCGATAACTTACGGAATGCGATAATTAAGAATGCAATTATCATCAATTTAGTAAATAACTTTTATAATGTTGAAAATAATTATGATAAATTTAGGTAATTCGACATGCTGCAGGGCAAGGTATGACAATATTCCCGCATTACGAGATTTGGTTATAAACCTATTTTTGTCTCGTTAGAGTGTGTTATTGTGTCTCTTGCCCAGACAGAAGCATAGATAATTGATTAAATATTTCATTTTGTAAGAACTCGTGACGTTCTTTCAAATATGGCGAAAATAGAATTTTATAGCTATTGATTTTTATCCCTTTACATAGTACGCAAACAATTAATATACGGTATTTTATAGAATTTGTATAATAGGCTAATTATTGGCATGTTCGTTCAGAAATGCAATAAATTATTTTGCCTGGTTGACAATAATGGGCAATCATAGTGGAGTATTGTTTATGTGTCAAGAATTCTGAGCCAGTTGTGTCGCAGATTGGATAATGTGGTTAAATTATTCTATTATCCTAAATTATTCACATTACCTTCACTGGTTTTCCATCACAGCACTTTGCATGAACACGAAAGCCGGTCTCATGGTCACAGATGAGATAAATTTATAGCTCATCTGTGCCATGGCCCTTCACCAGCATACTCCACAGAGATATGGACAGAGGTCGACTCTTCCAATTTTACGTTGAAACGAGTGTGCCAGTGTCCCCGGGCTTTGCCTAATCCCACGCTACCACCCGATTCTCCACTCGAAGCTGACTAAGCTTCTTCGGCCAAATTTCAATACAAAAGTATAGAGAAAACCAGGCGCTTATATATATGTATATATAAGCGCCCTGGAGAAACCGAGGAGAAAACGCTGTTCGAAAGGTGAAAAATTGATTTTTTCTGAAACTGCATGGATCGGATTATCTTCATTTTTAGGCTAAAATTTTGGAGATTAAGGGTAAGTTGTTTGTTTTGTTGGGTTTAAATGTTCGTGTTGTTTTTAAAAGCGATATTAAAATCCTCGTTTTGCGTGTAAGTGCGATCTGATTAGCCTTGTCGACTGCAATATTGGTACCCGAATTGTCAAATTGTGTTTCAGAGCTGTTTTTTTATTGTCTGTCAACTAGCGGGCAGAGCGTTTGCATTTTTTATAGAATATAAACAATATAGGACGAATTTCAAAGAATATACTCCTAAATTCGCGTTTTAATTTGAAAATCTCGACAAAATACATTGCATGACATTTCGAGTTTTTAGCGTTATATAGCTTTAACTCGCAGAGGATATCAGTTTTTTAATAACTAGTACCATTTCATGATACAAACATTCACTGAAAACATTTGTAATTACATATCTTTACTTCTCAAGCAGAGTTGCTGTTCGATTACATACTTTTTTAGTTCTTTTTCAAACTTTTTCAATCAAATTTTCACCAAGCATATTATCCCTGGGCTTTCTAAAGAAAATATATTTTAGAACTTACCTTACACTACAAAAAACGTGTGGAACATTTTAGCCAAAGCGGTTAAATTTTTTTAAATATTTGCATTTTTACGGGCAAAAATCCCATTTTTCGGACGCGTGGAGCCGCGAGTCGAGCCTCTGTCAATATCTCTTCCGTGATATGGCACAGATGCCGTACACTAGTCACGACCTATATAGCTCAGTGGTCACGACTTGTACGCCGGCAGTTGACGATTTCAAATTTGACGTATGATGGTGTATGTTATAATGAAATTTCATTTTAAAATTTCGTTGATTACATTTTCTGACAATTACCAATATGTATATAGAACAATTTATCATAAATTTCAACTTTGAAAAAATTATGGATGGCTGATTCTTCTTCAAGCGAATGTCGACAGAGAAATTTATCAGGTACTGCATGTTTTTCACTGTTCGCTGATTTTAATACACGAACGAGATTTATGCAATGAATGTATATCATAGGCAGCCCAGGAGGAATGCGAAAATTATGTATGCATGTTTATATACTATATAATAAACAATTATTGGATGACTGAGGTTTTTGTGATATGCAGAGTTATCAAGGTCGAGGTAAGCGTTATCAGCCGAGCCAAAGGCGAGGCTGATAACGCTTACCGAGACCTTGATAACTCTGCATATCACAAAAACCGAATTCAATAATTGTTTTATTATACATTTGAAGAATAGTAAACATAGTATTAACGAATGAAAAACCTTATTTAATAGCAACATCCAAAAATACATCAATTATTAATACATAAATAAATTCAAATGAATACCGCTTGTTAACCACCGCAGGCTCGCTTGCAGATAACTCAGTTATCTGCTAGCAGATAATTAAATTTTGCGTGATTGTGCGATTTATCTGTCAACTATTAGCCAATCAAATTGCTTTTACTACTATAATGTATAATAATGTACTTTATTATATACACAAGCGCCAGATATGAGGTATTCTGCAATTTCATTGGTTGGCTACTAGACAGATATTAGCTCATAGAGAAAGTAAACAAAATGGCCGAAAGATTTGAGGAGTTGAGTGAAATAGAAATCCAAGCCTAGTTGATAATAGCACACCAAAATGCACCCAAAGGGTGACAAAGTTTGTGTATATAATAATTAATACGCGCCTCGTCGGCTATCAGCTCATATACGACTCGAGTTCGCAGAATAACTGTTAAATATATACTATATATACCATATTATATACTATAAATTAGTATATAAACATGCATACATAATTTTCACATGCTTCCTGCTGATCTGAGATCATGACGTCATAAAGCGTCTCGACAAAACTGAGTTATCATGTGCCTGGTGTTATTTGTACTTATTCTTCCAACTAATAGTATAAAGGGTGAAAAATTTAAATTCTAATTTGCAGTTGGGGAAAATTAAACGTGTTTTCACATAAATATATAATAAAATCACTTGATATTTTCGAGTGTCGAAGTCCTTTGCAATGAAGGAAATGATAACTCAGTTTTGTCGAAGATCTGGCTTCTGATTGGTTGATTTTTATGCCCAGATCAGCTGGTTTCTCGGCCGCCTATGTGCATATACGTATATATACGTATACAAAATTATCTTGCTTTCGGTAAAAAAAGTTTTAAAAAAATTAAAAAAAAAAACAAACTTTTTTTCAAACATGCAGAATTAGAAAGCTTATAGTATAGTTTAATGTTTCAAATACGTATGCTGCTAGTTTTCAGTAGTTATTTTAGTAGTTAGTTCAGTGATATGTTAGCTTCTTTTATATTTTAAAAACACGAAAAACAATCCATGACTCATGTATATCTAAGAATTCTTAGGTTTAACTCATGTGATGTGCTAACCAACTTAGATCGGGGGTCAGCTCTTTTGTTGTATTTAAAAGAAAACAGGTATTTTAATAGATCAATACCTATGCAGTAGTGAAAATAATTCATGCATGAAATTTATTTTTTCCATAACGGGACCGATACATTTCCTCACAGGCTCACAGGCTCACATTTTCCTTCCGTGCTTCAATATTCACAGAACCTCGTGTGTTATGCCTGTGATCGGCCTTTTTTTAAATCATGGCGCCGAAAGCGAAATACCCAGTTTTAGATCTACTTTATCAATTTTTACATAAATTAAAATGGTTGTTCCAAGATGAAGTAGTTGATCACATCACAATTTTAAGAGATCTTCCACTTTGAATTTCCGGTAGACTTTCCTATTCTGACTTCGTTGGTTCCTAAAGAACGCGAGGTAACTCGGAGTGTAAACAAGCAGTCGACGATGCAGAGCCACGAAGCGTGTTTTCACGATATAAGTTTGTCCCCCAGTCTACCAATATGCCGCATCTGTCACGCCAGTAGCGACGAAGACGAAGGTTTAATCCAGCCATGTCGTTGCAGCGGCTCCGTTGGCTATGTTCATGAAACGTGCATTCGCAAATGGATTATCGCCTCAAGTAATTTTGCCTGTGAATTGTGTAATTTCGTGTTCAAGTGCGAGGCAAAACCTATACTGGATATTCGAAAGGTATCGTGATAGTTCATTTCACTACAAAAAAATTTCGGTAATTTTTTTTCGTCCCCCTAAACTTGCATGGGTAGTGTTCCCATGCATGGTTGTTGCAATAGCACCAGAATTCAGTAGACTGTTTAACCGCGGCGTGGTTATCCATATCAAAATATTTGACATCATAACCAAAGCATGGTTATATTGTTTAATGTTTGTATATGAGCACGAAGCATGCTTGCAACTTTGCATAGGACAAGCATTTGACCATTAAAACAGCGCGTGGTTATCCATGTCAAAATATTTGACATCATAACCAAAGCATGGTTATATTGTTTAATGTTTGTATGTGAGCGCCAAACATGCTGGAAACTTTACAAAGTATGTTCTATTTCCCAATAATTGTTAAATTGAGAGGCATTTGCGGCCATTTCAAAGGCCTATGTATATTTCAAAATTTTCCCGGACTCTCCTAGCAGCCGCGCGGTTCCAAGGCCCAGCAATACGAAAAACGCTCCGCGGTCCCTGTGAGATTCGCCCCGGTGTGTTTTTGGGGCTCGCAGGTTTTGTAATGATTCGTTGGATTATGTTGTTGGAGTGGTTGCTGACACTGTGGCTGATTTTGCTATTGAGGTTGGTTTAGGAGCGAGAAGTGTCGTTGTCGGGGTGTGAATGATAATATTAGGCAGATTTAGATTGAGGATGCGGACGTCAAGAGGACGTGAAATTTTGCCCAATGTCGGGGTCGACAACACCGTCGTGTCAACTGTCGAGTACAAAAACAGACTTAGATTGTGTGATATCGATTAGGACGTCAAGAATACGTGTAAAGCGTATATTTGAAAACAAATTCTGTAAAATAGAATACCTTTCACGGCACACAGCCCCAAACTCACCTAATTTTTCATGATTTTTTTCGACAAATCTGGTGGGAAAATTGGATGTTACTGCAAAACAGACATGGTAAAAACCACAACCAAATATTGACAATGTTTTAAAATTATGAACAAGTCAATATAAAGTAAAACGGTATACTCGACCATGGTCGAATATGGTCGGAAATTTACCGTGTTCTATTATTTATAAACCTGGGGTCCATACCTGGAATACGGGGGATATAATTTCTTTATCTTAATAATGTGCGTGTATCGACTATACTATATGATATCGACTTTGGTATATCACTTCCAACTCTCAATCCAGGAATCCGAGTTCAATTCTGGGTTGTATTCAGGCTTTTCTCTTATACGGCCCAATTCAGAAAAAAAGTCTTTCTGTATAAAAATGACACCTGGACACCATTTTTATTAAAATGAGTACTTTAGCAGGAAATAGTTTCGATCCATTTACCCCTGGGTTATGGGCCCAGCACGGTTCCACTGCGCCACCCTGCTTGCTGCCCAATGCTGATATGCCATGAATATATACGCTGATCTTTATTTTCTTTTCACCTGTG